TTTTTAACATCCAGAGAATATATGCCAACTTTGGAGGAATTCTTTGAAGAAGCCATTGAACAGGCAGACCCGGAAAGCATGGTTGAAAATGAATATAAGTAAGTAATGTTTCTCATGAGCTAATTTTCTCCAATTCTTTTCCTTAGCAATTTTATGTATACTAGAATGCTAATAAGGGAGGCAGTTGATAGAGTGGTACTTTTCCTCTTAGGTGAGTTTATGTACCAAGTTCACATTATGACACATCTGATTTCAATGACCATTCCCATCAACTTAACAGGCATTACTTAAAATCAAGATTATTTCAAAAATAATCAGAAAAATCCCTCTTGAACCTACATCTCTCTCCAAATATCACCTATTTTCCCTGTTTTCCTTCAGATCAGTCAGGCATACCTCATTTTATTGCACTTCACTTTATTACACTTCACAAATGTCAGGTTTTTTACAAATTGAAGGCAAAATCCTTTACGAGCAAAAAAATTACAACTCACTTTATTGCAGTACTCACTATTGCAGTGGTCTGGAACCAGACCCACAGTATCTGCAAGGTGAGAGGTATGCTTATATCTCCCAACAATTCTTGATAATTGCTGCCTTCATTTCCCCACCTCCCATTGTCCTCAGCCCATTCCTGGTGGGCTGTCTCTGGCTATCATATAGCTCTTATCAAGGTCACTTTTTTTTTAACCCCTCAGCAGAATTCCCTAGCTGATTTGTCTTGTTAGATAACATTTTCTTCTCTCAACAGCCATCTAACTATAGCTCCCACTGTTATCCTTTTGTCTAATTGCTTTTCAGTCTCCATTGCTGGCTCCCCAATCCTCTGCCTAACTTAAAATTTTGAAGTAGCTTCAGGACTCAGTCTCAGGTTCTTCAACTAAATCCACAGCTCCATGATTTTGAATAGGCCTTACGGTACTGACTTAAGGGCTAGGGCCCTCTTGTCAGACTGCTTAGGTTCCAATCCTGGGACTCTACCACTTAACACATTGCGTACCGCATAGCAATCTCTAAGACATACACCAGGGACCGCATGTTTTGGGGCAAACTGCACGTTATTTAAATCATCATAATGCACTTCAGGTGTTGTTTTTCAATAATTATAACATTTTTATTTACAAAAACAAACAAAGTTCCTAGTACTTTTTTAACGTATGGTATTGCGTAAAACATTTTCCTCTGTGAAGAGGGACCAAATAAAATTTACATAAGTATCTAGATTCACTCCTTTTTCCATGGGCGTGAAAAACGAGAACACTCGTGAGCGGTCCTTAACAGATGGCGCGCGAAACACGAGAAAACTCCTGAGCGGTACGAAATGTGTTAACTTGCTAGGCTACGAGGACTAATTAAACCCTTCTGGTTTCCTTGTCTATTAATAGGAATCGTACCCATTTCTCAGGGTTATTCTGAGGATTAAGATGATTTACTTTGAACCATGCATGACGTAGTTAGCACTGCAAAAAGAATGCTATGACCAATTCAGGTCAATTTTCCATGCATTAGCCAGTGATCTTTAAATTCACAAGTCAAATCTGTTGCTACCTGGTTTGGCTCAGTGGATAGAGCGTCAGCCTGCGGACTGAAGGGTCCCAGGTTCGATTCTGGTCAAGGGCACATGCCTAGGTTGCGGGCTTGATCCCCAGTAGGGGACGTGCAGGAGGCAGCCAATCAGTGATTCTCTCTCATTGATGTTTCTCTCTCTCTCTTTCCCTCTCCCTTCCTCTCTGAAATCAATAAAGATATATTTAAAAATAAAGAAAATAAAATTAAGATGAAGTCTTACTAACAAGTCTCCTTTATCTGATTTGCACCTTTCTACCTCTCCAGTCACATCTTCTTTATTTTCTCTCTGCTCAAACCATACCAGCCAGCCCTGTTTCCATTCAACTCAAAAGGTACTTCCACCTCAGGACCTTTGTACTTGATGCTCATTTGTTTGAAACTTCCCTCATGGCAATCCCATGGCGTGCTCTCTCACTTAAACTCTCATCTTAAATACTGAGCAGTTTTCCCTGACCAAGTCTTCTCCTTTCCCTCTTAATGCAGCCCTGTTAACATTTATTTCATAGTACATATCACCATCTGAATTTGTCATTTTTTTCTCATCCTTACCACTACCTGAAATTGTCTTAACCCTTGTATTTATCAATAATGATGCTTCGCAACAGATTCATTTACTATGTCAGTTACTTCCTAAGCCACTTACCTTATATAACTCTTTAGTAGAAATTGTTGTTTCAGCTAGTAAATGGCAAAGCCAGGAAAATCACTGTGACCTCAGGGGCCCTGAACTCCATGACTCCTGAGTGCCCAGCTCAACAAGTATTTGTTGAATGAATATTGATTTATTATTGTTACGTAAAACTAGGTAGAGTGATAGCCCTCTAAGATTAGTTTAAGAATCTGGATGATATGGATCTCTGGAGAATAATTTTGTATGTATAATTGACAGAATGCTTAAAAGATTCAAATTATCTAAACAGAAATGTGTCAGAGAGAAGGTTAACTATTTTGGCAAAGCCTCATAGCATGATGTTAACTTGGTAAGGGGCCCCACTGTCTAGGAGTAGTTTTGCAGGTGCCAGCATCCTCAAAGGTAATGAGGCTCCAAGTAAATGAGGTTGCTACTCAACAACTTAGGGAGGGAGGGCATTTCCAACTGACTTGCAAAAAAACTCATAAATGGGGGGGGAAAAGTGTGCTTTGGACTCTTCTGCAGCTTGCCTGTTTCAGGAACACTGTCTTTAGAATTTCCCTGAGGTTTCCATTTCTCACCTTACTGGATACCATCTATTACCACTTTGCTTCCTTACGGAACAGTTCATGGGTTGGTTCTATTCTTGGCATCATTGCTTACTCTCTTGACTATTGGATATTTCCCTTTTCATTTTGGAGCCATTTTTATCCCATCAGGTTGGTTCTGAGCAAATTAAAGTTTAGGCATTGTATAAATAGGACACCAAGCATTGATTAAATGATTGGAACTCAGTGTTGAACTTACGTTCTGGAACTCACACGTATAGGTGGCATTATGCTGGCGGATATCAACTCACTAAAACATGTTGAACCTATTATGAATTCATTTTCCCCCCTACATAACTAGATTTCTGTCCTACATATACAACACCTAGCCAGTACTGCACATATTGACTTTTTTAAATTAAGTAAAATGCATACAAACTTTTTAAATGTGCTTGCTGGTGTGACCTCCCTCTTCAGACTCTGTTGGTTTCTGATATAAGTGACCTGCACACTGAGTTCTTTGGGAATACGATCAGAGTGAAAAGAATGGTGCCTTCAGCTGCTTATCTTAGTTACAGAATTTCACTTGGTGAGTTATATTAACTAGAAGGGAATATAGAAATAAATGACTACAAAGTTATAAGACCAACATCTTTCTATAGGGCTGTGAACAATTCAAATTATGGTTGGAGAGCCCTGAGACTGTTAGCACGGAGAAGCCCTCACTTCTTCCAGCCAACCAACCAGCAGTTCAAAAGTTTGCCAGAATATCTTGAAAACATGGTAATAAAGCTAGCAAAGGAATTACCAGTAAGTATTATAAATCTATTTTTTTCATTTCCTTTAGTTGATGTTATTTTCTTTAAAACTGCTATCGTTTGAACAGAGCTGAATTTAGAGTTGTGGGAAAAAAATCTACCAACTTCCATGTTTTAGAATGAAGAGAAATGCATTTGAGGATACACTTCATAGGAAGCACATAAACTGATAAACTTCTAATAATTTTTATAGCACGTGTATAACTTAATCTGTCTGTAATACTTCTGGAGAAACTATTATCGTTTTTCCTGTTTGTTGGTGCATTATATTCAAAGACAGGGTAGTAGTAGGCAACTTGGCCTTACTACTCTGGCTCTCCTTTTCAATACAATTTTCTCATTGTATTTCTACAATATGGTACTAATAACTGTGTGCATAAAAGCTAATCATTCAAAAAATGTTAAGGAAATAGGTGCTCAACCCTGGTCTTCCCTAGATTGTTGTTACTATATGCTAGGTATGTGAAAATCATTTTAACATCTTACTAACTCCCTTCTTCCCAGGTTGGGGGAGTAAGGGGAGTCTTTCCAATTTTCAGATCTTCCCCATCCACTCCTTCTCCAGGTTAACACTGTTCTACTTGTCATATTTAACACCCTCAGGGGTAAAGTTCTGGATCCTATACTTGGAATGTACAATCAGCTTATCTAAACAAATGAATCCCAAGTTACTTTAGAAGTTGGCATTCTTTTAAACATTCTCCTTACTCATTTTAGCCTCCTTCTGAAGAAATAAAAACAGGTGAGGATGAAGATGAGGAAGATAATGATGCTTTACTGAAGGAAAATGAAAGTAAGAATTGAATTTTCTTGGCTATTTTACAAAGATTGTGGTTCTTTGTTGAGAGGTACGTTATTTAATTTGATCTACTTCTCAACTTCTACCATGTATTTCAGCTGCTTCTTATAGTAAGGAATTTAAAGCACTGCTTGACAATAACTTAAAATTGATTTCCTAATGGTCATAAGAACAGTATTCAATCCATGGAAAAATATAAAAAGGAACTGTTTTAAAATAAAGGTTATTAAAGGGGATTAATATTTTGGTGGCCCCATATCTTCCCATTTCTGTTGTATACTTTGAATTGTAGATGTCCTCATACTTGGTACATAATTTACATTTCTTGTGTTTTCTAGGCCCTGATGCTCGCCGAGACAAACCTGTAACAGGGGAACAAATAGAGATATTTGCCAGCAAATTGGGTGAACAATGGAAGATTCTGGCTCCCTACTTGGAAATGAAAGACTCAGAAATTAGACAGATTGAGTGTGATAGTGAAGACATGAAGATGAGAGCTAGGCAGTTACTAGTTGCCTGGCAAGATCAAGAGGGAGTCCATGCAACGCCCGAGAATCTGATTAATGCACTGAATAAGTCTGGATTAAGTGACCTTGCAGAAAGTCTAACTAATGACAATGAGACAAATAGTTAGCTTTTTTTTTTTTTTTTTTTTTTATTAAAACTGTGATAAGATTTTGTTACCAAGCAGCATTTGTTAAGAGGTCCACTGGTTTTGGTAAACAATAAACATTTTTATAACAGTTGTACAGTTGGCTGGTATTCCAAGAACAAAACACATATTGGCTCTTGATAACTGACCTCAGTCAGGTCTTGGGAGGAGGGAGGAGGAGGTTGGAAAAATGGCCAAAGTGACATGACCTTAAGGTCACAATATATTTTTGTTAAATGTGTTATTAAGTCAATAAGTGATATTTAGAGGCATGGTGTTTCCTAAAATACACTATGCCAAATTAGTTTCTGCATGCCATTAGCAGTTATGAAATTTAACTTGCTATTCTGAAAATCCCAAAATAAGACTTTCTGAATCCATATGGCTGCTCTAATTTCATGCTTTAAAACAGAGGATCAGCAAACAATGGTCCGTTTACCACTTGGTTTTATAAGTAAAATTTAATCAGCACACATCCATACTGAATTTTTAGGTATTGTCTATGGCTTCTTTCCTGCTACAACGGCAAATTAAGTAGTTGCAACAAAAAAGTTACAGTCTGCAAAGCTTAAAATATTTACTATCTGGCTCACTACAGAAAATGTTTGCTGACCCCCAACTTTAAAAGAAATGGGGTAAAGTCTAAAACCTAGTTCCTTTAGCCTTATAAAATTAACCTCTCAAGTCATTAAAATAGGGATGCATTGCTCAGGGATTGTTGTGAAGTTCAAATGAGATGTCTGTGAAAGCACCCTGTAAACAGCAAAGCACTAGGTAGTTAGTAATGGTTGGAGACAGAACTATCTTTTTCCTGTCCCCACATAAGCATTATCCTTTAGGGGTCTAAGATTGTTATCATTGTTTTGAATCGAGAACAACTACTACTAAATGCACACATTATACAATAAGTGTTGTTTGGGCTTAACTTCACTAGCTAGTCCAACAGTATACAGCACAGCTCTAGTATCAAAAGGGCGTCATGCTAGTGGCAAAGCATATAAGGCACACTCAGGAGTCAAGACCTTTTCTTGCTTACTCTCAAAGACCCTACATGCAAGGCTGAACTCTAAAACAGCCTTATTAGTTTAAAACAACACTGGTATAAGTCCAATTTCTTATACTTAAAATATCTTTGGAATAATGCTTTTTGGATCAAATAAAGTGAAATAAAGTTTTTTTATATAATGACAAGGAATTACAATTTTAAAATTCTAATTCTATAGAAGGTTTATATACTTTGTTCTAAATCTACCTCACCTGATCTCCAGTAGCTACAGCATCCTGCAAATCAAAAAAAATCTAAATTTTAATTGCTAAATTATGTCCTCAAAATTGTTCAGGCCAAATATAACAGTGAATAAAAAAACTGCAGAATTACAAGCAGCATACCAATATATAAAAAACATCACAATTCTTATGGTCTCATTTTCCCCATCCTATTCTGCACCCTCCCTCAAAGCAAAGGAAGTACTGATTGCCAATAATTCAAGTAATTAGAGATTAGCTGAAGAAGCTATATACAAATAAAGTTTCCCTGAAATACTCCTTTTATGTCCCCTAGAGTTCTCACAAACTCAAAAATAGCCACTATTCTTAAGGAATCTACTGGTTATCAGTGCTGTCTGTGCTCTGCAGAGCATTAAAACGAGAGTAAGCAAAGATGAGATTTCATGATAATCCCCAAAACTTAATTATAAATACCCAACTCAAAATCAGAGCAAATTTGGTAATAATCTATCCTTTCTCTAACAATCAAGGCTCCTAAGACAAAGATGAGGAACTGACTAATTAGAATATATTAAACCTACTATATTGAAATACTTCATACTCTTGGTATTCCAACCACCACTAGAAAAATCATTGATACTAAGCTGTGAAATAGACATTAAGATTTTTGGGAACTGACAGAAGTATAAAAATAACTGAGCCAAAGGACAGATCTGACTCATAAATGCTGCATTCAGCATCCAAAAAACACCATTGCTCTTACAACTTTGTTATTTCTTTCTAAACAATGTAGTACTAACTGGCAAAGGTAACATTTTTAAATGGATGCTTAACAGCAGAGTAAAACTAACCATCAGGGTTAACATACTGGAACTTCAGCCAACTCTACAGACAAGACTTGAGGTCAAAAACTGTTAATCCCTCTCTTTCTTTTTTTATTAAATACCCCTGTTTTCTAAAAATAAGCAACCAGAGCCTGTCAACATCCTGTTAAGGTTGATTACTACAAAGCCATTGCAGTTAAATGTACAAACCATAGTACATCAAAGAGACAGTAATAAATGTATAATCAAATGTACTATTGATCACAATTTATTTTAAAGTCATGAAAAGCCAGCAACAATCAGGCTGGACAAATACTTGATTGTATCCATGTTTCCATGGGCTATGTGGACAGCAGCACTGAGAGCACAATGAGAGCAACACTTACTTCCTTTCCATCTTCCTGGCAGAATTTGTTAGATAAGGCAAAGGAAATTACCTGTGGTTTGAACCATGCAAGAACAACAAAACAGTAATAGGTGTGCAATAAACATTTCATTGCTGAATATTGAGCTGAAAAAGGCAGGGAAAATTATCACAGAAGACAGTGGTTGAAAGGCATTTCAATTCAGAATTTTAAAAAATTAATGCAAGAAATAAGCTTTTAAAAAATTTCTTCCTGTCACCTTTATACAGAGCAGCACAGTTCAAAGGCTTCTCTTTTCTGCAATATTTTACGTTGACACACAGAGTGGTCTGCTTCTGCTCTTTGTTCCATATGAGGGGAAACAAAACCACTTATATATCTTCCTCTAAAGCTCTGGATTATAGAAATGATCAACAAATAACATTTATTTCACACCTAAGCATAAATAGCTAAAATGAAGGTTACTGTTCACTTTCCTCTTCCATTATTTCAACTCTGCGAGGCCCATAGAGTAAAACATAAGCTATATGCCAGTCTCCACCACCAGAAAGCCGCAAGATATCTTCTGGTGTCACAGTGCTGACCTTATCATCATCAAACTTAATCCATTCATCTAAAGAACGAGAGGAAAATGAAATTAAAATCATTCACAATTTTTTCAGAGTTCCATTTCAAAAAGGTACTTTACGCACAGCAGTATTCCATCTACCATAGCAACAGTTCTCAAAGCATGATCCAGGGACTACTCAGGTTCAAAACCATTTCAAGAGTTCCATGAAGGTTACAACTATTCTCATAACACTACTAAAGCCTTAAGTACCTTTACCCCTCATTCTCTCAAGTGTACTTTGGAATTTTCCTGAGGCTACACAACGTATGATAAAGCAAAAGACAATGCGGAAATAGTTAGGAGAATCTAGCTGTCTCCTATTAAAGACTTATAAAAATGTAAATCAATACCATTTCTTGCCACTTTTTTTTGTTTGGGGAAAAATTATGATTTCCATTTTTTAAATATTTATGTAATTGGTTTATTACTGTCAGTTTTGAGTAAATTAATTTCTCAGTTTTAATTTCTATTATAGTAAAGAAACATAATCCTCATAAACAAAATGGGAAGGTTCTCAATGTAAGAGTGTAAAGAGATTCTGAAACTGAAAAGTTTGAGAACCACTGTTATAAAATTTATATTAAACAAACTATTAAAATAGTATGTAACAACTGAAAAAAAAAAATAGAATCTTTACCTTCTTTTCTTTTCACCCATGATACATAATGACCTGAAGAGCTAGACCTTCCCTGATGTGTTAACACTGCTTGTAAATCATAGTATCCACAATTATTGGAGCCAATGTCTAAAGGAAGATATAAATTCAATAATATTAGACAAATAGACATGTGCTTTCTAAAACCAAATAACAAGCAAGAACTATGTTTTGAAGTTTAGCCTAGATAAGCACTATTCTACTATTAGAATCCAGTAAGATACTACTATCCAAAGTTAAGGCTTCATGAAAGATGTTTTAAGAAGTATCATTCATAGAAGTTTATGCTAAAAAGAGTGGTTTTTAGTGTATGTCATATTGAGATAAATTAGATTTCAAGAACCCTGACTTTTTTAAAAGCATGATAACTAAAAAAAAAAGTTATGTGACTAGACAGTAATCTTACCTTAAAACACACACACACACACACACACACACACACACACACACACACACACCCCACAACTGAAATAAAGATTCACTGCCTGGACCGGTTTGGCTCAGTGGATAGAGCATCAGCCTGCAGACTCAAGGGTCCCAGGTTCAATTCCGGTCAAGGGCATGTACCTTGGTTGCGGGCACATCCCTAGTGGGGAGTGTGCAGGAGGCAGCTGATCGATGTTTCTCTCTCATCGATGTTTCTAACTCACTATCCCTCTCCCTCCCTCTCTGTAAAAAATCAATAAAATATATCTTTAAAAAGAAAAGAAATAAAGATTCACTTACCATCAGCAAAAGAAAAGGGTTCATACTTAACATCTTTCTGGGGACTACTCTTTTTGTCACTCTGAAAGGAAAAAAATGTTTAATTTTAGACCATGATATCAGAAATAAAATTTGCATTCTCAATAAGAGTACGTTTCCCCAGTATCTGAAAGTAGCGTGCCTATGAAATCTTTCAAAAGCCAAACTGGCATATATAAAGCAAAGAGTATCCCCTGCTTTCAGAAAGTTCACATTATTCCACTTTACTTTTACAAAAAGCAAAAGACCTACATTAGTATGGTAATGGCTTTTTTCATAAAAGCAAAATTCCTCTTCAGATTTCTTTCTATTTGCTAAAATGGGTAGGTCTATCATAAAAGTGAAGTTGCGTAACGAGAACTTGCGGAAAGTGGTGAATACCTATACTCATTTCCACGAATATTTACTGTCCACTTATATGCGGTTTGTAACACAGTTCAAACCAGCACTGTTCAGTGTCAACTGGTGGCTGGGAATGTGTATGCAGAGGACCAACTTAAGTTACACATGAGGCAAAACAAAGACAAAATCTAGTCTGCCTTACAAATTACTAAAATGATATAACTACAGTTAACATAAAATTGGAAACACAAAGGTCCTACATTTTAATAATATAAAATCTTGTATGTATTAATAACAGACCCTCTGACTATAGAATCAATGTTAAACCACTATAGCTAGAGAGTGTACCAGTGAATATAGTAATACAGATGAACAGTGCTCTAGGGTAGTAAAGGAAAACCCAATTTTATAATTTTGTTTTACCAAAATACTATCAAACCATGTAACTGGGAAAAAAAGAAAAGAAAAAGCTGCCTCAAAATAACAGAAGTTAAATTATTGCAATTAACATTCAATCTATTGAGCCATGGTCACCTGCCACTTTGGCCCAAATAAACAAATATTTAATTCAGCAAATATTTACCTATATTAAAAGAAGCATGATTTACTACTTTAGACAAGGATCTTTAAAGTGGGAACTTCCTGCATCAACCCATTTCCATGTGCAATACAAAAAAATTAAACAACCTATATAGGCATAGGAGCACAAAATTCTTGAAAACTTTAATAGAAATGAAGACAATGCAAGCAGTTTAAATATAGCTAGAGTAACAAGAAATCAAAGGACACTACAACAAAAAAGTACAATGAGGCCAACCATTCCTTTTCATATACAGCTAACCCTTAAATAACATGGGTTTGAATTGTGCAGGTTCACTTATATGCAGTTTGTTTTCAACTGACCCGCACAGTTCAAACCAGCACTATTCAGTGTCAACTGGTGGTTTGGAATGTGTATGCAGAGGACCAACTTAAGTTACACATGCATTTTTTACTATACTCCTAACCTGCACATTGGTTCAAGAGTCAACTGTATATAATGTAATGCCTACAGTAACCCCAAAAAAGCTATGCAAAGACATACATTTTAAATATATCATACATAAATCAATCTAGAATTCTAAAAAAATGTTCAGTCCCTGGCCAGTGTTGCTCAGTTGGTTGGGAGTCATCCATGCACCAATAGTTGCTGGTTCAATTCCCAATCAGGGCAAATCCCAGGTTGCAGGCTAGATAACCTATAGGGGGTATGCAGGAGGCAGCTGATCCATGCCTCTCTCTTTCTTTCTCTCTCTCTCTCTCTCTCTCTCTCTCTCTCTCTCTCTCTCTCTCTCTCTCTCTCTCTCTCTCTCCCTTCCTCTCTAAAGATCAATTAAAAATCTTAAAAAGAAAATGTGCATGTAATCTATAAGACAAAAATGAGAGAGAAAATACTGAAGAAAATATAAAATAGATTTAAACACTAACATATCAATAATAACATAAATGTAAATTATTGTACATAAATGGGGTTAACAAAGTAGATTAAAAACATGATCCAACTATACACGATCAATAAGATCTATAGGAAACTCTCTTCAAATATAACAGTATGGGAAACTTTAAAGTAAAAGAATAAAAAAAAGATCATGCAAACAGTAACAAAAAGAAAGCAGCAGTGGCAATATTAATCAGATAAAGTAGAGTTCAGAGCAAAAAAAAAAAACTACAAGGGACAGAGAGGAATATTGCATAATGAAAGGTTCACTCCACCAAGATGACAAAAAAAAATCCTAAATGTATATGCACTAATTAACAGCGCTAAAAAACATGCAAAGCAAAAGCTGACAGAACTGAATAGGGAAACACAACTGCACAATTTTAGTTGAGGACTTCACTACTCCACAGTCAACTAGACAGAAAAACAGCCAGGTTACAAAAAAACCGCAACGACACCATTAACCAACTGGATCTAACCAGTATCTATAGAACGCCCCACTCAACAACAGAATGCACATTCTTTTCAAGTGTCCAAGCTGGATCACATCCTGAAGCATCTAATGCAAACCTCAACACATTTTTAAAAATGTAAATATCACAAGTATGTTCTTCACTACAATGGAATCAAACTAGAATCTATAATAGCAGAAAAATTTTCTAACATCTAGAAAGTCAACAAGATAGTTCTAAATAATTCAAGATCAAAGAGAAGTCTGAAGGGCAATACATGAAAAAAAATACAAGGAACAGAATGAAAATGAAAGTACAATATAATGAAATTTGAAGGACATATTGAAAGCACTGCTGGGAGAGAAATTTATAGCCCTACATGCTTATGTTAGAAAATAGAGAAAAGTTTGAAATAAAAACTAAGCTCCCCTACCTTAAGAATAAGAGCAAAATAAACACAAAGCAAGCAGAAAAAAGGAGTGTAAGAGTAGAAATTCATTAAATTAGGCCAAGAAAGATCTTTCAGAGAAGAAGGGAGAGAGAGATAAAAACATCAATGATGAGAGAGAACCACTAATTGGCTGCCTCCTGCATGCCACATACTAGGGATTGAGCACGCAACAGGGGCATGTGCTCTGAATAGGAATTGAACTGTGACCTCCACGGTGTGGCTGGGTGATTGAGGTTGACACTCAACCACCAAGTCACACTGGCTGGGTGAATTTAAAATTTGACATATTATAATATCACACTGAAAATCTTTATTAACAGGAAATATCTTTTTCATTTTGAAAAAAAAAATCAAATATATAGTAACTCAGGTATACTTTATATGAACCCAAAATAACAATCTGTTAAATATAAAGTTGATATGGTTATAATTTTAGCAGTTACAAGCATATCAGAAGCAGTTAGTTTTCTCAGTGGGCATAAATGAGTCAATATTTTATACCACCACTTCCACACACAAAAATGGAGATAATTCCATGCCTTGCAAGGAAAATAATAAAATACTATGAAAATCTAGGCAAGGTTTTCTATATATGCTGTGAGGAGACATATAGAAAAGAAATATAAGCTGCAGTTTATAGAAAAAAAGAAATTAAGCTTATCCTATCTAATAAAAGAGAAACATGGTAATTAGCATACGACCGCTACCCTTCCCATTGGCTAATCAGGGCGATATGCAAATTAAATGGCAGCCGGCAGCCAGGCAGCTTGAAACTAACATGAGGCTTGCTTGCTTCAATGACGAGGAAACCAACGTTTCCCCCGCCTGCCTTGCCCGCCTCTGAGCCTGCAGTTTGAAACATTGTAACAAATATAGAAGCTAAACAAAACCCAGAAACCTGCTTTCAGCCCGCGGGGATCTCAGAGCTGGAGTTATACATTGCTTCAATTATAGAACCGAAACAAACCAGATACCTGCTTTCAGCAACAGAGGCCTCAGAGCTGGAGCCAGAGCTAAAGCTGGCCCAGAATAAAAAAGAAAAAAGAAAAAAAGGAGCAGTTGAGAGCTTCAGCCCTCAGCCCCTCACCCAGACTGGCCAGGCATCCCAGTGGGGACTCCCACCCTGAAGGGTGCATGACCAGCTGCAAACAGCCATCATCCCCTCACCCAGGCTGGCCAGGCACCCCAGTGGGGACCCCCACCCTGATCCAGGACACCCTTCAGGGCAAACCAGCCAGCCCCACCCATGCACCAGGCCTCTATCCTATATAGTAAAAGAGTAATATGCCTCCCAGCACCGGGATCAGCGGAGCCGCAAGGCCTCCCAGCACCGGGACCAGCGGAGCCGAGAGGCCTCCCGGCACCGGGATCAGCATGACAGGGGGCAGCACCCAAACCCCCTGATGGCCCTGCGGCTCTGTGTGTGACAGGGGGCGGGGCCACAACCTCCCTATCCGCCCTGCTCTGTTCCTGACGGGGAAGGCGCCCCAACCACCTGATCAGCCCTGCTCTGTGCCTGATGGGGGGAGCTCCCCAACCCCCTGATCGCCCTGCTGCTCTGTGTGTGACAGGGTGCAGCGCCCCAACCCCCCCCCCCCCCACGGCCCTGCTCTGTGTGTGACAGGGTAGAGCCATAACCTCCCCATCGGACCTGCCCTGAGTGTGAGAGTGGCGGCGCCCCAACTCCCTGATCGGCCCTGCTCTGTGGGTGACAGAGGGCGGCGCCCCAACCCCCTGATCCGCCCTGCTCTGTGAGTGACAGGGGGGAGCTCCTCAACCCCCTGATGGGCCCTGCTCTGTGTGTACAGAGGGCGGTACCCCAAATCCCCTATTGGCCCTGCTCTGTGTGTGACAGGGGGGAGCTTCCCAACCCCCTGATGGGCCCTGCTCTGTGCGTGACAGGATAAGGAGCCCCAACCCCCCTGATGGGCCCTGCTCTGTGCGTGACAGGATAAGGAGCCCCAACCCCCTGATGGGCCCTGCTCTGTGCGTGACAGGGGGCAGTGCCCCAACCCCCGGATTGGCCCTGCTCTGTGCGTGACGGGGTGGTGCCGCATCCTCCCCATCGACCCTGCCTTGAGTGTGACAGGGGGTGGTGCCCCAACCCCCCAATCAGCCCTACCCTGAGTGTGACTGAGTGTGGCATCGCAACCTCCCAATCTGCCCTGCTCTGTGCATGACAGGGGGCAGCGCCCCAACTCCCCAATTGGCCCTGCTCTGAGCCCGACCAGGGGCTGCACCTAGGGATTGGGCCTGCCCTCTGCCACCCGGGAGCAGGCCTAAGCCAGCAGGGCGTTATCTCCCGAGGGGTCCCAGACTGGGAGAGGGCACAGGCCAGGCTGAGGGACCCCCCCTTCCCCCCGAGTGCACAAATTTTTGTGCACCGGGCCTCCAGTCTATATATATAAAACCCTAATATGCAAATAGACTGAATGGCAGAACAACCGAACAACCAGTCTCTAAGACATGCACTGGCCACCAGAGGGGTGCGTGTGAAACATGGCAGGCGTCGGCAGCAGATGGCAGAGCACTGAACAGGGTGGGCGTCAGCCGCAGCAGGATGCTGGAGCAGGTGAGCGGGAGTGCCAGACCAAGGCGGGGCACCAGTCACTTTCATTGGGGCAAACCTCTGGTTGTTACTGAAAATTCTTTGTGCCTACGCAGGGCGGTCCCACCCGGCGCTCACACCCATTGCTGGCACTGGTCTCACTCGAACCCACAGTTGATGCTGGAGCCGCTGCTCGTACCCACTGCCAGCGCCCAGCACCGGTCCCGATCCCTTGGTGCTGTCAGCGGGTGGGAGAGGCGACTGCTGGCTCCAATCTCCCTTGAGGGCTTCACCGCCTCCCCCTGCTCCTGAGGGGCAATCGGGGCAGCAGCCGCCACTCGACCCTGCTGATGGTGCCAGCCCCGCTCACACCCATTGTGGGCGCAGGTCCCAATCGCTCCACGCCGCCAGCAGGTGCGAGCAGGGCTGGCAGTGGCAGAAGCGGGGTCACCGGCAGACAGGGGACCGGGGGCCACTGCAGGAGGAGTTAAGCAGGGGCAGGGAGGATGGGCCGAGACCTGCCCCTGTGCCCACTGCAGCCTTGTGGCCCACAATTCCTTTCAGGGTGCACGAATTCGTGCACTGGGCCCATAGTTCTACTATAAAGAACACTTTACCATAACTAAAGTTCTTTTGCATATGCTAAAATACACCTAAAACTTTAAAGGCTTACACCAATATATGTGGGATTTATATATGAGCTAAATAAAATACAGGCTCATCCATTTCTACAATAAATAACAATACAAAGTAATTGTTGAAGATTAAAATATTAAGACTAAAAAGTCAGCAATAAGAACCTACTGTCTTTGTTTGCTGATTCACTTTTTTATCTTCTAGATCCTTGAATTTTGATCGAAAAGAGATCATTTTCTCTTGAAGTTCTGGTGTACATAGTTCATACACATCCAACATGAGAGGAAATTTAACATCCTATACACAAATCAAAAAGAAAAAAAATGTGTAGACAGACTTACCAAGGTAGTTATTTAAAATATCTATCACACTTTTAAATTTTAAAGTAGTGCTTTCATAATTCAAATAAAGTTGAAAATAAAATCTGTAAAAACTGCTTGGAAATCTTTGCAATTAGAAACATCATAGTGCTTATTTTCAATTTGATAGTAACTTCAAGGTAAGATAAATTTTAAACTTTTTTTTCCATTAAACATTTTAACCCATGAAACTGACCACAGAGGAGTTAGCAAATTTCATATAACAAAGAAGCATTTTAGAAATATTAAACCAGCTGTTGTGAAAAATAACAGAGACCATCAGAGAAGTCAATTTACAAATGGGGTCACTTCTGGCTATAATTTGAAATACAATTTCACATAGAAACAATAGTGATACAGTTCAGTAACTAATATTAACATATGAAGTGAACACAAGTAGATACTGCAACTATAGTCAACCTTCTAATAAAACACTAAGTATATTTGAAAATGTATTATGACTTTCAGCTCCACAGGCTAGATCAGGAACTCGGGATATATAGAGGGCTACAGTTCAATGAAACAGCTACATCATATGGCGGGCTCCTACATCAACCGACTTCAATGTAAGTACTCTTTGGGCACCAATAATTTAACATTCTCTTCACCTGAAAGGAAGGAACTGCCCAGAACAGAGTGCAGTGTGTTATACTGCACTGGAGGCCACCCCAGCCCTAAACCTCCAAGGATAAGGATCTCTGATCTAGTGCAGTGTTTCTGGGAAATGGAGGGCATCCATCAGAATTCTCCAGAAATCTTTTTAAAAATGTACTACCTTAGGCCCCACTTAATCAGAATCTGGGGGGTGGGAAAAAGCCAGACATGTATATGATTTAAAATAAAGAAAACAATAGGTAATTCCAATGCATATCTTGGTTAAAAGCCACTTGGCTATTGTAAATAACTTCCCTATTTGTAATATTTTAAAGAAAATTTAACTATCCCTAAAGTACTAAAGAAACCTACTGTAAGTTATGAATTGTCTTGTAAGTTAGGAATTGCCTTCAAAGAATAACTTTTCGTTACACTGAAAATTTTGTTACACTAACCTTAAGAACTTTAGCATTCACAGATTCCTTCTCTTTATAAAAAAATCGAACCATCTGAATAGTCAAGTAAGCAGGTAGCCGGCTGATCTTGGACTGAGAAGAAAAAATAGAAAAAAATCATATTACATGAATATGACACACAAGTATTTAGTTTGTTGGTCTGGTAAAAACAAAGACTGGGCAACAGTAATTAAGTGGAAAACTCTTAACAAAATGGAATTCTAGCCCTAACCAGTTTGGCTCAGTGGATAGAGCATCGGCCTGTGGACTCAAGGGTCCCAGGTTCGATTCCAGTCAAGGGCATATACCTTGGCTTGCGGGCACATACCCAGTAGGGAGTGTGCAGGAGGCAGCTGATTTATGTTTCTCTCTCATCGATGTTTCTAACTCTCTATCCCTCTCCCTTCTTCTCTGTAAAAAACCAATGAAATATATTAAAAAAATGGAATTCTATTTCACAAGGAATGAACAACTTACAGATTTGATATACAACGCATTTCTTTGCAATGTTGGAGACTGTTTAGTGATTTCTTCCTGAAGTCGCTGAAAAAAACCAGAATAGAAGACCAAACATTAGTTTTAATAAATTATTTTTTCCACAATATAGAATCACACCTTTAATTCTTTAATAGACAATGGGTTTATACTACTGAGAAATAATCTGAATGAAGACAATGTGGGAAGATGTTCATTTTTAGATATGGTTCAGTTTTTAAAAGGCATCAGAAAGCATAAAAAAATACTTGTGTGAACTAATTGGAATGTAAAAGTGTATACTGGTGTGAACTCGTTGAAATATAAAACATGTTTAAAGTTTTAAAATTATAACCCAAATGTTATTCAGATTCTGAGTCTATAATGCATTTTACATAAAGCTTTTTTTTTAATTAAATCTTTATTGTTCAAATTATTGCAGTTGTTCCTCTTTTTTATCCCCCATAGCTCCCCTCCACCAGGTTCCCACCCCCACCCCCCCCCTTAGTACCCCCCCACCGTCCTCATCCATAGGTGTATGATTTATTTCTAATCTCTTCCCGCACCCCCCACACCCCTTCCCCCCTAAGAATTGTCAGTCCACTCCCTTGCTATGCCCCTGATTCTATTATATTCACCAGTTTATTCTGTTCATCAGATTTTTTATTCACTAGTTGATAGATATGTATTTGTTGTTCATAATTTTTATCTTTACCTTTTTCTTCTTTCTCTTCTTAAAGAATACCTTTCAGCATTTCATATAATACAGGTTTGGTGGTGGTGAACTCCTTTAACTTTTTCTTATCTGTGAAGCTCTTTATCTGACCTTCAATTTTGAATGATAGCTTTGCTGGGTAGACTAATCTTGGTTGTAGGTTCTTGCTATTCATCTCTTTGAATATTTCTTGCCACTCCCTTCTGGCCTGTGTAGTTTCTATTGAGAAATCAGCTGACAGTCGTATGGGTACTCCCTTTTAGGTAGGTAACTGTTTTTCTCTTGCTGCTTTTAAGATTTTCTTTGTCTTTTGCTCTTGGCATTTTAATTATGATGTGTCTTGGTGTGGTCTTCTTTGGATTCCTTTTGTTTAGGGTACTCTGCGCTTACTGGCCTTGTGTCTATTGCTTTCACCAGGTATGGTAAGTTTTCTGTCAGTATTTCTTCAAACAGGTTTTCAATATTTTGCTCTCTCTCTTCTTCTGGCACCCCCATAATTCGGATGTTGGTACACTTGAAGCTGTCCCAGGGCTCCTTACACTATCTTCATATTTTTGGATTCTTTTTTCTTTTTCTTTTTGCAGTTGGCTGTTTTTTGCTTCTTCGTATTTCAAATCTTTGACTTGATTCTTGGGATTCTCTTATCTGCTGTTGGATCTCTGTATATTATTTTTTATTTCAGTCAGTGTATGCTTAATTTCTAGTTGGTCTTTTCTCATATCCTCCAGGGTCTCACTAAATTTATGGGCGGTTTCTAGAAAATTCTTGAAAAACCTTATAACCGTGGTTTTGAACTCTATATCCAGTAGTTTGCCTTCCTCCATTTCTGTCACTTGTGACCTGTTTCTGTCTCCGCATTTTGGCTGCTTCCCTGTGTTGATTGAGTGGCTTTGTGTGCTAGGTGTCCTATAGGGCCCAGTGGCTCAGCCTCCCCAATTACCTGAGGTGGACACTCTTGGTGCACCCCTTTGTGAGCTTTGTGCACAGTCTTGTTGTAGTTAAGCCTTGATTGTTGTAGGTATCACTGGTAGGAATTGACCTCCAGGCCAATTGTCTGTGAGAATCAGCTGTGTCTACAGTGGGAGAACTTCTGTGCTGAAGACACCCTTATGGGGCAAGACTTGCTGCAGTATGGCTTTGGTGCTCACTGAGTCTGCCCCTTGAGTGTGTCCCTTATGGATCTGAGGAGTTATAATCTGGATGGTCCCACTCTGACCACTAGGTACACTGGCACTTGGATCTCTAAGGAGGTGCTAATTTAGCCTCAGCCTGAGGCTACCCAGCAGGAGCTATGGAGAGATCTGCAGATTCCTCTTCTTTGTTTGGGGTTTAGAGGTGCACAGATGAGGCCCAGCTGTGAACTAATGCAAGCTGCTGTGGGGCCTTGGGCCTTCTTTTGGATGTTCTTGGTCTCTCTGACCCATCTGCAGTTTATTAGGTAATTTTAGATTGCAAAGACCAGGCCATTCATATGCAAAAGCCTCTGTGCACAGCTTGGGTGGGGCGGGGTCTCAGGGAATCAACAGGGAGGAGCAAACAGCTATGGCTGATCGTCAGCCCTGCCCTAAGAGGCCCCAGGTCTCAGTGTCCCGTGGAAATCGCTGCAAGCACCTCTGAGAGAAAGCCGCCCTCAAGTTCCGACTGATGCCAGACAGTCCAGTTTCTCCCCATATGAGTCTGGGTCCCCAGAGACTCGTCTGGAACTGGAGTTCAGAGCAGTTGGGAGCTTGAGACTCCCTCCCGATTGAAAAAGACAACCATGTCCTCAGTGTGTGCCTCCATACCTCTGCACTTTACTTACACACCACCTCTGAGTCTCAGTGTACTTTTCTCTTTCCTTCTAGTTGTAGAATTTCCACTCAGCCAGCCTTCCTGTGGTTCTGGATGATGTCCGTTTTGTCTTTTAGTTGTATTTTTGAAGTGGTTGTGCGAGGCAGCAATTTCAGGTGTTTACCTATGCCGCCATCTTGGTTTCTCGATAAATTCTTTTATGGCATTCCTCTACTTATGATTTCAAAGAAACCCTGTTAATCTAGCCAATGTGGAAAAGCCTTTGTCCATTAAGCATACCTTAATGATCATATCTACTTTTTAGAGCCTGTGTGACACTGGGCAAGGTAGTTATCCCCTCTGGGCATTGCTTGTAAACAGTGATAATAGTACCTATGTGATTCTGTCTCATCATTGATATTTCTCTCTCTCCCTCTCCCTTCCTCTCTGAAGTCAATAAAAAAAAAATACTAAATAAAGTTAGCACTAAAAGGGGGAATAGAGAGAACCAAGATGGCGGCATAGGTTAACGCCGGAGTTTGCTGCCTTGAACAACTACTTCAAAAGTGAAACTAAAAGACGGAACGGCCATCACCCCGAACCACAGGAACGCTGGCTGAGTGGAAGTCCTACAACTAGGAGGAAAGAGAAACGCATACGGACACTCAGAGGAGGCGCAGTGCTGAAGTCAAATTCTGAGGTGCGGAGTGCGTGAGCGGGCTGGCGGCGGAGGGCGCGGTTGGCGTTTTCAATCGGGAGGGAGTCGCAGACTCTGAGCTCCAGATACAGGCGAGTCTTTAGCGACCCAGACTCAAACGGGAGAAGTGGGACTGTCTGGCTTCGGTCAGAGCGAGTGCAGCTTTCTCTCCGAGGTGTGCAGCGGGTGCTGGGACTCAGAGAGGCAGAGCCCCTGGGGACAGGACTGAGAGCCACCATAACTGCTCTCTCCGGCCCACCCTGTTGATCCTGTGCGACCCGCCCCGCCCAAGCCCTGCACAGAAGCATTTGCCGGATAGCCTCAGGCAAACGCCAGATTAGCACCTCCCTAGAGGACAGAAGTTCTCTCACTGCAGACACAGCTGATTCTCACAGCCACTTGGCCTGGAGGTCAAACCCTCCCTGGTATTAGCTACAACAATCAAGGTTTAACTATAAGACTGCGCACAAAGACCACTAGGGGGTGCACCAAGGAAGCATAACAAAATGCAGAGACAAAGAAACAGGACAAAATTGTCAATGGAAGATATAGAGTTCAGAACCACACTTTTAAGGTCTCTCAAGAACTGTTTAGATGCCGTCGATAAACTTAATGAGATCTACAAGAAAACTAATGAGACCCTTGATGTTATATTGGGGAACCAACTAGAAATTAAGCATACACGGACTGAAATAACGAATATTATACAGACTCCCGACAGCAGACCAGAGGAGCGCAAGAATCAAGTCAATGATTTGAAATGCAAGGAAGCAAAAAACACCCAACCGGAAAAGCAAAATGAAAAAAGAATCCAAAAATGCGAGGATAGTGTAAGGAGCCTCTGGGACAGCTTCAAGCGTACCAACATCAGAATTATAGGGGTGCCAGAAGATGAGAGAGAGCAAGATATTGAAAACCTATTTGAACAAATAATGACAGAAAACTTCCCCCACCCGGTGAAAGAAATGGACTTACAGGTCCAAGAAGCGCGGAGAACCCCAAACAAAAGGAATCCAAAGAGGACCACACCAAGACACATCATAATTAAAATGCCAAGAGCAAAAGATAAAGAGAGAATCTTAAAAACAGCAAGTGAAAGAAACTCGGCTACCTACAAGGGAATACCCATACGACTGTCAGCTGATTTCTCAACAGAAACTTTGCAGGCCAGAAGGGAGTGGCAAGAAATATTCAGAGTGATGAATACCAAGAACCTACAACCAAGATTACTTTATCCAGCAAAGCTATCATTCAGAATTGAAGGTCAGATAAAGAGCTTCACAGATAAGGAAAAGCTAAAGGAGTTCATCACCACCAAACCAGGATTATATGAAATGCTGAAAGGTATCCTTTAAGAAGAGGAAGAGGAAGAAAAAGGTAAAGATACAAATTGTGAACAACAAATATGCATCTATCAACAAGTGAATCTAAGAATCAAGTGAATAAATAATCTGATGAACAGAATGAACTGGTGATTATAATAGAATCAGGGACATAGAAAGGGAAGGGACTGACTATTCTTGGGGGGGAAAGGGGTGTGGGAGATGCGGGAAGAGACTGGACAAAAATCGTGCACCTATGGATGAGGACAGTGGGTGGGGAGTGAGGGCGGAGGGTGGGGCGGGAACTGGGAGGAGGGGAATTATGGGGGGGAAAAAAGAGGAACAAATGTAATAATCTGAACAATAAAGATTTAATTAAATAAATAAATAAATAAATAAATAAATAAATAAAAGGGGGAATAAATGGTGATGGAAGAAGAGCTGACTTGTGGCAAACACACAATACAATACACAGATGATATATTAAAGAATTGTACGTATAAAACCTATATAATTTCATTAATCAACCAGTGGCCCGGTGCACAAATTCATGCACACTGAAAGGAAATTAATTAGAAGAAATATTTTAATATCACTATTCATCCTTTTTCTATAGAAGTGTCAACCAAATTCATGATCAACAATGACAGATGGCAACACACATGTACAATTGGCACCGAGAGCTTTATATGTATTGCACATGCACAAGTCAACTTAACCTTTTGTATATATAGAATAAACTTGTTTAATTAGACCTGCTTTCTGATGTAGCTAAACTTTTTCCAGCCCAGTGAAGCACTCCAACTTCTTTCACATAATTGTCAGCAACACAGCAGTAAATATCAACACAAAGCAGATTATTGTAGATCACACAGGGAGAACAAAGGATAAAATATTTAACAGCAGCAGTGTTTGACTTTATTCTGAGCAGTGAGAAAACTTGAAGTCATTTTCAAGGTCCAACATTTCTTACTTCTTTTCAGTTGGGTCAAGTTTCTAAGCTTTCTAAATCTCCGTTTTCCGGCTAATGAATGTTTGCACCTGGCTATAAAGCAAGTTGTGTTCCTGGACTGAAGAAACTGCAAGGAAGCTAGCTGCTAGGGAGAGGAAGGACAATGCCATGTGACATCATTACCCAGTGCCCACGGCCATCATTTCCAGGCTGGACTGGGCTGTGGGCTGCATTTTGCGCCATGGGGTCTCAGCAGAGTTGGCTGCGATTTGGTGGGGTTTCACTCCAGAGTGGTGGCAGGGCCTGTGTCCCATTTGAGGAAACCAAGTACTGCTTTGTGGGCGCCAGGTCCACAGTGCCATTTCTCTGTAAATGACCAGTGTGCATCAACAGTAGCTCCTGCATTGAGCGTCTGCCCTCTGGGGGTCAGTGTGCGTCTTTGCGACCAGTCGTATGGTCGGATACTTTGCATATTAGCCTTTTATATATATAGATGTCACCCCAATAAGTTCATTTTAAAAAGTAAAATGAGCCCTAGCTGATTTGGCTCAGTGGATAGAGCATTGGCCTGTGAACTGAAGGGTCCCGGGTTTGATTCCGGTCAAGGGCACATGCCCAGGTTGCGGGCTCCAACCCCACTGGGGGATGTGTAGGGGGCAGCAGATCAATGATTCTCTCTCCTAATTGATGTTTCTATCTCTCTCTCCCTCTCCCTTCCTCTCTGAAATCAATAAAAAAATATATATTTTTTTAAAAAAGTAAAATGAAATTGGGAAAAAAAATAACACTACTAATGTGCTCTACTTTCAAGAATATAAATATATAAGAAATCACAGAGTTAAAACAATTTACTGTTAATGTTTAGTTTAAGCATGTTATACTTGTTTAAAAAAAATTTTTTTAAGTTTTGTTTTTTAAAAGTTACTAATCACGCCCAGCTGGTGAGGCTTGCTGATTGAATGCTGACCTATGAACCAGAAGGTAATGGTTTGATTCCTAGTCAGGGCACATGCCTGGGTTTTGGACTCAATCCCCAATAGGGGGCGAGCAGAAGGTAGCCAATCAATGATTCTCTCATCATTGATGTTTTATCACTCTCTCCCTCTCCATTCCTCTCTCTAAAATCAATTAAAAAAACCTGCAAATCACATTACAAAAGTTATCACTGCAGAGTAGCTTCTGAACACTTAATCAAGTTTATTCAGCAACATAAAGGTAATAAAATATGAGGCCAAATTACTTAAATGATTAAAATAATCTATAATCTAACACATTAAAATGATCCAATAATCAGAATGATCTAAAAATTACGATAATATAAATTTAAAATCTCATGTATACCTGTTTTTCAAGAAAGCATATCTATTGCCATGTTATTCATCAGGTAATAAGCTATACCTATTATCACCAATACACTATCATCTAGAAGTTCCAAGTATATTTCATTTTTATAGAATTTCATAAAATTTTAAAGAAAAGATCATCCTGGAGAATCCCTGACATTCATTCTATTCCACACTCTCCGATTAATACTTATACTTCATGTTTTGAAGCCCTGAACCTTGCACATTGTAAGTTGTTATAGGATTCTTGGTGGTTAGCTAGTATTTGTAATGCTTTTAAAACTAACTTCTCTCAAAAGCCATTATGCCTCACAACTCTCCTCCCAATACCAGAGGGCAAAGAATATCACTATTTATCTATCTACTTATGTCTAAATTTACTAACCCTCCCCCTAACCCATTTTACCCCAAACTATAAATGGGAGCTCCCTGACAACAAATTATCTTATCAAGATACCTACCCCAATTCACTACCTATCCTTCAAAAAGATGTGCATATTCCCCAAATCACATCAAATTAACAAATTGGCAAGCAAACCATTATATTTTATCAATCTGCTCACTATAGTACATTCCTTAGTATGGCACTAGGCAAAGAATACTAAGTTCTTGTTCTGGATCTGTCACAAACCAAACTAAGTCACTTTAATTCTAGGACCTCAACTGCAATACTAGTGCAATGGCAGAATGACTCTATGTCCTGATCTGCACAGTACAATCCGTTTATACCTCATAATTATTAAAATACCCTCATTATTACACCTCAGAGCCTTCCTGCAAGCCTTTGGCTCCATTTTTGCCAACCAATCAATACATAACCTTGTTTTATGTGTTTCTGTATAATGATCCCGTACTTAACATACACTGTTAATCATTAACATGGAATTCAGTCACAACTACACTAAAACTCATCCCTGAATGAAACTTATCTAAGAAACTTAATTTTCTCCTTAAGGTATGTCACAGCCCTCTGACCTCTTTTTTTTTTTTTTTTTTTATAATATGTATTTTTATTGATTTTTTAGAGAGGACGGGAGAGAGATAAAGAGTTAGAAACATCAATGAGAGAGAAACATCTATCAGCTGCCTCCTGCACATCTCCTACTAGGGATGTGCCCGCAACCAAGGTACATGCCCTTGACCGGAATGGAACCCGGTACCCTTCAGTCAACAGGCTGACACTCTATCGACTGAGCCAAACCGGTTTCATCTGCCCTCTGCCCTCTTGCACTTAAAACATGAGACAGCACTTCAGCACTATGTCTGAAGGCCATTTTAAATAGCAAAATCAATAAGCACAAAACTGCAAAATATGTGGCACTAAAAAAGGATTGCAAAGACACTTGTTTATAGTATGAGAGCTGAAATGAGAAGTCAAGAGCATCACCTTTCTGGACCTCAGGTAGTACAGTGTGTGTTTCAGGCAACTCAAAATTTTTGCCACACTAAACATGTCTTCAAATGACTGTGAAAACACCACAAGTATTGATGCTGGGTCACAAATAAATTTTAGCAAGTAGGTGCATTTGCAAATGCAGAATCCATAAATAATGATGATCAACTCCAATTGTTCTTACCAATTTAAGTCCTGTAAAAAGATACTTGACTTCTTGATTGATAAAACAGCTAAGCTGAAGCTGATTTTCTTTTCCTTTAGTGACTTCTTCTTCTTCAGATTCTGTGCATCTCATGCTTTCCAAAGTAAGATAAGGAAAATGGCTAATGCTATTAAAATTAATAGTATCATTCATTAGCATTTAAAATATTTTGATCTTCCAATAGAGATTTATTTCAACATATTTTAAATGCTAATTCACTTACCAACAATATTCAGTAATGAATCTAAGAAAAGGATAAACATTAAACAAATGTAAGTTGCTATTTACACGGTCTTAAAATAGTCTTAATAACCAAAAGATACATAAAGAGAAATATTTTCTAAGTTTCTACCCATCAGCTAGAAAGTAATACTTCCCTAAATTCATGTTTTATGAATTGGTTCAATCTCATGTATATAACTGATGCACTCTATTGCATACAATTAAAAATTCCCTTTAAGGCAAATTAATGAAGTTGACTATGTTAAAGATGTTCATAAGAAAAAAATAATGAATATCCTTAATGTATATACACTTATCTAACCTTTAAGATCACTCCAATGGGTATACTTCTCCAAATTTCCTATTTCCATGACATGTTTTAGACATAAAAATCTCTAAAGAATTTTACTTCCATCCCACCCACCACTCCAATCAGCCAAGGTATTGATAGCAATTCACTTCATACACTTCTAGTAAGTTCTGAGTAGTTTATACATATCTTGGCTCATAAGGATACGTAGTTTCAAACTCAACTCCAAAGTATTGGTCAATTAAACTTTTCTTTTTAGAAGGTGCCACTGCTGATGCAGATGAAGAATCTGTCTGCAAAAATTAAAATCATGTATTTATTAATATATACTACCTTCCACACAATCCAGTTTAGTAATATATATGTAAGTTTCTTAAAATGTAATCCCTTTCTACACAATCCTTCTACTGCTCAAAAAATATTGCCAAAATCTTGATGCACGATATCAATTAAGTTTAATACAATACATTGAATTCAAGTGTCAAATGCAAGCTTCCAAATTCCAACTATAGATTGACCATCTAAAATATTTAAGTACATGTCTATCTATTAAGATGAATTTATTTCAAGCCTTTAGGGTGGGGATGAATCAAGTACAATGAAGATCTGTAATCACAAATATATTTCAACTAGAAGCCCAGCGCGCATGATTCTGCTTGCCTCAGCTGGCCGCCCCGCCCATCGCCACTTGTAGCTCGTGCCCCGCCCTCTGCCGCTAGTAGCTCTCTGCCGCTAGTAGCTCTCTGCCGCTAGTAGCTCTCCACATCGAGTAGCTCGAGTAGCTCACACACCGCCTGCCACGAGAGCCACTGCTTGTTTGGTCATGACTCTGTTATGGCATCACGACCAGGCCTTTTATGATATAGATTACCTCTTTTACAGAATCATCCTCTATGGCTTCCAATTTCTGTTGCAATACTCGCATCATTTGTATCCAACATTCATTAGCATCCTGTAATTTTTAGAATGACATAGTAAGTAATCCTGGCTGTGACAGTGTTTGGTCTATAGAATCCTCCCAAAATAATTCGTATTCTTAGGGAAGAAGAAAGCTACTTTTTTCTTTAAAAATGTTAAGCCAAAGTCAGTATTTCATGATCTTCAAAACAACAAAAATTCCAAAATAGTTTTTTCCAGTCATTCAAGACATGTTTACTGAATTCCTAATTATGCTAAACATTGTTCTAGACCAGCCGTGGGCAAACTACCGGATCCGGCCCGTTTGAAATGAATAAAACTAAAAAAAAAAAAAAAAAAAGACTGTACCCTTTTATGTAATGATGTTTACTTTGAATTTATATTAGTTCACACAAACACTCCATCCATGCTTTTGTTCCGGCCCTCCGGTCCAGTTTAAGAACCCATTGTGGCCCTCGAGTCAAAAAGTTTGCCCACCCCTGTTCTAGACACTAGGAATACATAGCAGTAAATAAAATAAAGATCAAATGGGAAACACAGATAAAAAATATATAACATGCATTCAAGTTCAGAGAAGGGTTATGTGGGGGGGGAGGGGGGGGGAGTAATACAGGAGCAAAAACTGATTGATGCAAGGAAAGCATGCTATTTCAATACGACAGTCAAAGAAAGTCTCTCTGATGCCCTGACATTGGAGTCATGCACTGAGAGCCAAAGGGAACAAGAGCTAAGGCCCTGCAGAACAAGGGTACATGGAGGGTTTAAAAAGTAGCAAGGAAGCCCTGTTGGTGTGGTCAGTGGTTGAGCATCGACCCATGAACCAGGAAGTCACGCAGTTGGACTCCTGGTCAGGGCATATGTCTGGTTTGTGGGCTCAATCAATCCCCAGTAGGGGGCGTGCAGGAGGCAGCCAATCAATGATTCTCTCTGTAATCAATAAAAACATACTTTTTAAAAAAATAGCAAGGAAGCCAGTATCTGGAGAGAAGCAAGGAAGACAGTGGCATCTGATGAGTTCAGAAAGGTAGCCAGAAGCTAGATTATTTAGGATTTAGGTTACTTAGGGATAGAAAATCACTAGGAAGCACTGAACACGGAACCAACATAATCTTATTTACATTTTAAAAGGCCTCTGGGGACTATATGGAGAAACATTGCAAAGAAACAAAAAAAGACAAGAGGATCAGTTAACAGAATATTGCATCACACCAGGCAAGACATAATAGAAATAGATGACTTATACTTGTATTTCCAAATATATTTCAATAAGTGTAAGTGCAGGAAACCCAAGATTTACATTTATAAAATGAAAACGAAGAACCTTGACCTGATTACCTGTTGAAGATACTGTCCTTGTTCGCCCTTCTCTGCAAACTGTGGAAAAGCCATGTGCAAAAACTGCAGTAGAATAATAGGTGGGATACTAGAAGAAGTTTTATCCATGGAATCAAACAAATCTCTAAGAGCTTAAAAACAAAGCAACAGTACCTTAGTAAGAGTGGCATATTTAACACATGCTACTGTAAATTAAATTTCAATTGCTATAAACAAAAAACTGCTTAATAACTTAATAACTTTTATGTACATCTATTCCATTTGCAATTGTTAGATTCCTAATAAGAAAAAGATTGGTTTTCACATCTTAATGAACTCACCAGAATTTACACTGCAGTCACTAGCTATAAACAACTTCTGAGCCCTGCCCCTCTCTCCTTGCCAGCTGCTGTTTTCCCAAAGCAGGGTATATATTAATTCAATACAAATACATATAACTTCTGTCTACAGATCAAACAGGTATGTTACTGTTCTGCCACTATGCCGTTATCAAGCCATCAGTTCTTAACTCCTGACTCACTTCCCTTTACTTGGTTCCCATCTACTGAAATCCTGAATATTGAAATCTGGCTCTTTAAACAACACACTTCCTGACTGTACTGACCAACTTAAAAAAACAAACTAATTTGCCTTCTTCAAAATCTTTCCTGTTTATCCCCTCTCAACATCATGAATCCCATAGTCATGGACTCAGCCCTGGCTTCTGGAGGTCAGAATACTTTTCCTTTGCTGAGTTTCTATCTATCACTTTGTCTTTACTTCATGTACAGCAAAACTCTAATCTAGCTTATCTTGACTTGTTAATTAAAATGTGAATGTGCCCTAACCGGTTTGGCTCAGTGGATAGAGCATCAGCCTGAGGACTGAAGGGTCCCAGGTTCGATTCTGATCAAGAGCATGTACCTTGGTTGTGGGCACATCCCCAGTAGGGGGTGTGCAGGAGGCAACTGATCGATGTTTCTCTCTCGTCGATGTTTCTAACTCTCTATCCCTCTCCCTTCCTCTCTGTAAAAAATCAATAAAATATATTTTAAAAAAATGTGAATGTCATCTATTATTGTTATAGAAATTGAAACCCAGTAAATACTACATTTCAGCACATAGCAAGCACTCAATAAAATATTCCTGAATAAATCAATTAAACATAATGCTTAAGAAGTATTTTTGGTTCCAGCCGTTGTGGCTGTGTTTGAGCATTGACCTATGAACCAAGAGGTCACAGTTTCATTCTTAGTCCCAGCACATGCCCTGGTTGCACGCTCAATCTCTGATAAGGGGCATGCAGGAGGCAGCCGATCGATGATTCTCTCTAATCATTGATGTTTCTCTCTCTCTCTCTTCCTCTCCATTCCTCTCTAAAATCAATAAATATATTTTTTGGAGGGAGTGCTGAAATTTAAGCATCACTACTAAGCTATTTTTAAAATAAAAAAGTCTAAACTTTAATAACACCTTAAAGCATACACTGCTAAAAAAAACGACGGTTTAATATTTAATATGTACTATGAAGAAATTATTTAATATATAACATCTCAAAATATTTCCTTTGTTTGAAAAAAGGTCAAAAATACACTATACATTAAAAGCGACTAATGAGCCCTCATCGCTTTGGCTCAGTGATTAGAGCATTGGCCCGCAGACTGAAGGGTCGCGGGTTCGATTCTGGTGAAGGGCACATACCTCAGTTGCAGGCTCGATCCCTGGCACCCACCATGGCGCATGCAGGAGGCAATCGATGTGTCTCTCACATTTATGTTTCTTTCTCTCTGTCTCTCCCCCTCCCTTCCACTCTCTCTAAAAATCAATGAAAAAAATATCCTCAGGAGGTTTAACCAAAAAAATAAATAAAAGAGACTAATGAGATATAACAACTAAACGTAATGTATACTCTAAACTGGCTCCTGAAGCAAAAAAGAAAAACAACTTTACAATGGGCAATACTGGGTCAATTCACAAAAGTTAAATAAAGTCTGTATTTTAGAGTATTATATCAGTGCTAAACTCCCAGATTTTAAAAACCATCCTGTAGTTATGAATGTCTTTATTGTTTGGAAATACGTTATATATATATGCCTAAGTGACAGTTATGACCGGATGACCCAACAACCAGACAACTGGCTGGTAGCTATGACACGCACTGACCACCAGGGAGCAGCTCCTGCGTTAAGTGTCTGCCCCCTGGTGGTCAGTGCACGCCCACAGCCAACCTCCCATGGCCAGCCAACCTCCCACAGCCCCTCCCCACCAGCTGGCCAGCCCCAATCAGGACTGGGTGAGACAGCCCCGATGGGCCCTTATCACTGGCCAGGCCGAGGGACCCCACCCATGCACGAATTCGTGCCCCGGGCCTCTAGTTCAGGAATAAAAGACATGATGTGTGCAATGATGTGTGCAACTTACTCTCAGAAAAAAAGAATATGCATTATAAACAATAATAAACCAGACGCGACAAAAAATTAGTAATTGGTGAATTCTTGCAACTTTTCTGTAAATTTAAATTTAGTTCAAAATATAAAAGTTTAAAAAGTCAAGAAGCAAAAAGTAAAGAACAGTATTTTTCATCTCATCAATACTGTAAGCCTCCTATCTATATATATAAAAAAAGGCAATATGCAAATTAGGCCTGGACGCTGTAACAGGCCACGACGGGACAGGAGGAGTTGCATGCGCAGGTGAGGCCCAGAGTGGAGACAGAAACGGAAACAGAGACAGGGGGGCCTGACCTAACCGGCGTGGTGGCTCCAGTGACCCGGAACGGGCACAGGTGGGGGGGCGAGCCTGGGGCGGAAGTAAGGTGCGGGTCCCGGCTGCCCGTGGTGCCCGTCGGGCCTGACTCCCCTCGTGGCCCGCGGGGCGCCTCCTCACGTGATTTTAATCGTGCGCTGGGCCTCTAGTATATGATAATGGACAAGTTGCTGAAATTCTGAGTTACTCTTAGATACCAGGTACATAAGCCATCAAATGAACTAGATAAAGGTGATCATATTTTCTCATTACAAACTTCATTTCAAAAAACAAATCTACTTTTAGGAAAGAGGTTAGAGGAAATCTCTCTAACTCCAAATGAACCAAAAGAACTTACTGTTAATAGCATTAAAAATTAAGGGCTGACCATAATGAGATACTACTTCACACACCTAGAATGGCTATAATCAAGACAAAAAAATATCAAGCATTATGAAGAATGATGATAGCAAGCAATATCAAGAATGCAGAGAAACCGGAACCTTCATACATGCTGAAAGGAATGTAAAATGATGCTGTTGCTTTGGAAAAGTCTGGCAGTTCCTCAAAAGGTTAAGTATAGTTACCATATAACCCAGTAATTACACTCCTAGAGATTTACCCAAAATGACAACATATGTCCACACAAAAACTTATACACAAAATGTTCCACAATTTTTGTAAAAGTCAAAAAGTAGAAACCATCCAAATGTCATTCAATGATGAAAGGATAAATAAAATATGGTATATCCAATCAATGGAACCTTATTCAGCAATAAAAAGGAATGAAGTTCTGATACATGCTATAATGTGGATGAACCTTGAAATCATTCTAAGTGAAAGCAGTCAAAAAAGAGCATATATTGTGTAATTCCATTTATATCAAAAGTCCAGAATAGATAAACCTACAGAGACTGTAGCTAATTAGTGGCTGCATAGGGCTGGGAGTGGTGAATGGAAAACTGGGTGACTACTAAAAGCTAGAGTTTCTTTTGGAGTGATGAAAATGTTCTAAAATTGATTTTGGTGTTGGTTGCACAACTCTGTAAATATACTAAAAAGCAATGAATTGTACACTTTAAATGGGTGAAGTGTATAGTATATGAATATCTCAATAAAGTGGTTACAAAAAAAAAAGTATGCCTATAAAACCCCTATTATCCTAGCCCAGTGATGGCGAACCTATGACACCCGTGTCAGAGGTGACACGCGAACTCATTTTTTTGGTTGATTTTTCTTGGTTAAATGGCATTTAAATATATAAAATAAATATCAAAAATATAAGTCTTTGTTTTACTATGGTTGCAAATATCAAAAAATTTCTATATGTGACACAGCACCAGAGTTAAGTTAGGGTTTTTCAAAATGCTGACACACCGAGCTCAAAAGGTTCACCATCACTGAACCTAGCCCAATGATTTAAGAGGGTATCCATTTTGCCTTGCCCGATGTAACTCTGTTGGATGAGTACTGTCCCATGCACCAAAAGGTCACCGTCACCCGTTAAATTCCTGGTCAGGGCACATATCTGAGTTGTGGGTTGGTTCCCCAGTTAGGGGGCGGGGCATGTAGGAGGCAGCCTATTGATGTTTCTCTAACACATTGATATTTCTCTCGCGCGCTCTCCCTCTCCCTCTCCCTTCCTCTCTCTAAAATCAATAAAAAAAAAAAAAAAAAAAAGAGGGTACTCATTTTGTCAAGTTGTCCCAAAATGAGACAGGGGGATACATGGCCTCATGTAAGGAAGAAATAAGTTATTTCTATCATTTAAGAATTTCCATGTCTCCTCATTCCTCATATACCACACTTCCTTACACTATTACCCACCAGGATTCTCTTTTATAATGATCACATCAACTATAATAAAATCTCTCCCTGGATATCCCTAAAGCTATATTATACTAATAAACCTAAAGCCAAAATTATAATTTAATCCAAAGATCCGTTTCCAAAAAATTCTCATATCACTGGTTTATAATTTGGATGATAAAATAAGTCCCCAGATGTTTACAGTAAATAGACCAATTTTAATGAGGTAATGCTTTAGAAAACACATTTTGTAAATTGAAAGGCACTAAACAAACTGTGAGTAAAAATAACATTTACTGAATATTATACTCTCTCTTGAAAAATATATATTTTTAAGATACTGACCTGCAGTAATATATTGTGCTGAAGCCATTTCCCCTGAAGCTCTCAAGGCACCAGCATACCTAGGGACATTAAGGCAGAATTAAATAATTAGGATTCAATTCATTCTCAAACTCAAATGGGAAGAAACCAGTGAAAAGGACTTATTATGACACACTCAACTGCAAGTTTCTCAGAGTTGCTCCCACCTTTCTATTTTCCATCTCTCTGGTCTTGTTCCTTTAAGCCTTATATAAGCAAAAAAGGAGTACTAAAAAAAAGGGAATTTAAATGAATAAAGTCACTTTAAATTCTTTCCCCTTGTCTAGCTCATCTATACCAAACATTTTCTGAAAACAGTGTAAAACAAAAAGTATAAATTAACTGTCTATTATGAAAAAAATAAAACTTCAAAATAATGAAGAAAAAAGATATTAGATCAAAATCATTAAATCAAAATCACTTTACCTATATTCAAAACTAAGTCACTTAAATTTCAAGTCAGTTTGCTCACCTATAAAATGAGGGGTTTCTATTAAATGATTTCTAAATGCATTTTCAGCTCTAAATTGTTACCTTATAGTAGTACAAAAAACTGGCTTTCCAAAGGAAATATTCAAACCACAGTATTTACTAATACAATATCTTTTATGACAAAAGATCAGAAATTATCATTCAGATAATATTCAAACATTACGGGTAGGAGAGAGATTGCATATTCACTATGATCAAAACTATGCTTACTTAATATATATCTACTAAAATGAAAAAGAGTGATATCACCCAAGACTGGCAAGAATGTGGAGCAGCCAGAACTACTGACACAATCAATAATATGGATGACTCTCAGAAACTATGCTCGAGTGAACTAAGTCAAAACAAAACAAAAGCAAAAAATAAAAGTACATTCTGTGCATTTAAGGTTCAGAATGCACGATGGTGGAAGGGGATGAGGACAGAATGGAAAAGGCATAAGAAAACTTTATAGGATAGTGAAAATGTTCTATAATTTCATTGTAAAATAGGTTATAGAGAATTTGCATTTATCAAAACTGATCACACTGAACATTTAAAATGCATGCCTTTCACTAGATTTTTTTAAATTGAAATAGAATCTACAACAAAAACTCTATGCTTATGTAAATAGAAAGGTCACAGAAAATATCATTAAATTATATTCAGTTGAATAGTTTAGTTTTTTCTTTTTTTCATTTATTTAGATCTGTTGGAAACAGAGAATAGAAATATCACACGTTAATTTACTATCCCCTAAAAACTCTCACTATTACAGGAAAACATAGTTCCTACTTAAGATAAAACTATCTAATAAGCCAAATAACATTAATAATGAACTTTACAAAGAAAAACTGTTAGAAAATAGAGAGGAACTGACAGAAATACTAAAGGGTTTAAAAGATAGGATTACTGAGTTTTACAGACAAAAGAACCAAGAGTCTTTGTCAAGTCAATAAATAGAAATTAAATTATGATATAAAAAATTTAAATTTAATTAAGTTAGCTTAATGTCTATTATACTTTATCACCTACAAAAAGAGGTTGTCTTTACTTTTCTATCTGTGAAATATTCAGAACAAGCAATCATACCTCAGATCAACCTAAACATTCATGAACAGAAGAAGACTGAATAACTACTTGGTAACATATACATAAATGGTATATTATATAGCACAAACATGAATGAACTACAACTATAAATACACACCATGGATAAACCAAACATAATGAGCTAGACTCAAATAAACACAATATACTAGTATATGTTTTTGTTCATAAACAGTTCAAAATAGTCAAATAAGTCAGGTTAATATTAACAACTTTAGAAAGAAGGCTGGAGTAGTGATTAGGAAGGGATAGGTCAGGGGGTTTAGGGAGTGCTAACAGGGTTCTGTTTATCTGTATTGGTTATATGGATGTGTTCATTCTGAGATAATTTATTTGTATACTTTTCTGGATATTATAATTCAATAATTAAAAATAAGCTTTGGGCCAAAAATATGAGATTTTATAGCATTATTTTTAAAAAATATCTAAACGGCATTTTCTAATTATTTATATGTTCAATAGAGGCCCGATGCACGAAATTCATGCAAGAGTAGGCCTTCCTTTCCCCAGCTGCCAGCACCAGCTTCCCTGTGGCACTCGGGACCCAGGCTTCCCTCCAGCCAAAGGCAGGTACCCGGGATCAGGCTACTCTCGAAGCCCCAGCTTCATCTGGAAGGTCGTCTGGAAGGACATCTGGTCTAATTAGCATATTATGCTTTTATTATCCTATCCTATATAACAAAGAGCTAATATGCAAATGGTCATCACGCCCTCGTGCCGGAATTGCTCAGACACTCAACACTGGGAAGAGAGGAACGGGGACCAGCCAGGCACAACTGAGCTCATGAGAGAGGAATGGGAACCAGCCAGCCCCAAATGAGCTCACGAGAGAGGATGGAGACCAGCCAGACTACGGCCTGGGAGAGGGACAAGCCGCACGTCCCGTAGTCCCAGGCACCAACGGCTGCCGCCCAGGAAAGGGACAAGCTGCCTGCCCTGCGGTCCCGGGTGCCTGGGGCTGCAGCCTGGGTGAAGCCACCTGCCCACAGTCCCCTGCAGCTGTAGCCGGCCCGGGCAAAGCTGGCCTGGGTCCTGGGTGCCTGCAGCTGGCCAGAGGGAGGGAAGCCCAGGTCCCGGGTGCCTGAAGCATAATATGCTAATTAGACCAGATGTCCTAATTAGACCGGCCAGAGGAGGGAATCCTGGGTCCCAGGTGCAGGGCGAGACAGGGGTGGTTAGGGGAGATCAGGACAGTAGGGGAGCAGTTAGGGGCAATCAGGCAGGCAGGCAGAGGTGGTTAAGGGCGACCAGGCAGGCAGGCAGGCGAGCAATTAGGAGCCAGCAGTCCCGGATTGTGAGAGATCCCCCAAGGGGTACCAGAATGGAGAGGGTGCAGGCCGGGCTGAGGGATACCCCCCGTGTCCCCCTCTCCCTTCCTCGCCCCCCCCCCCCCCCCCCCGGTGCACCGGGCCTGCAGTTATAGATATAAATAAGTGACCCAGGCATGCAACTTAAGAAGTTAGAAAACAGTAAAACAAGCAAAATAAAATAAAGTAAAACAAGCCTAAAAAAGTAGAAGAAATTAATACAAACAAAAGTAGGATGAATCAGACAATTGAAATAATTGAGTGAATAAATCTAATAGCTGGTTCTGTGAAAAACAGAATACATTAGCCTCTGGCAAGATAAACAAGGGAGGAAAGGAAAATATTTAACAAATAAAATGGAACCTCAGTTCTCAAACTTAATTTGTTCTGGAAGGCTGTTCAAGAATTGATTTGTTCAAAAACCGAATCATTTTTTCCCATTAGAAAAATCCATTCCAGACCCCAAAACCACAAAGCACAAAAATATTCACGGCACAATTTTCTGAGATGTTAACAATTCGAGGTTTAGCGGTAAAGTGATTCATACTTCCCACTCTCTCCTTTGTCGCCCAAGAAGTCTGGTTACTGATCATAGAGGTATCAGCATGAAGGGGTTGTCGGGTAGAGAACCGAAATTTTGTTTGACTACCAAGACTTTTTCATTAAACAACTTGATCGAAAACGGAATTATTTCAGGTGGGAGACTTCGAGAACTGAGGTTTGACTTAAATAAAAATGGGGGGGAAAACACCCTTATGCTAAAATAGTTTAAAGACATAAGGACAAATTCGTAGTAAAACATAAATTACCAAAACTGACTCTAAAAGACATAAAAAGAGCCCTAACGGGTCTGGCTCAGTGGATAGAGCATCGGCCTGTGGACTCAAGGGTCCCAGGTTCGATTCCCATCAAGGGCATGTACCCTGGTTGCGGACACATCCCCAGTAGGGGGTGTGCAGGAGGCAGCTGATCGGTGCTTCTCTCTCATCGATGTTTCTAACTCTCTATCCCTCTCCCTTCCTCTCTGTAAAAAAATCAATAAAATATATTTTTTAAAAAATAATAAATAAATAATAAAAAAATAAAAAACACAAAAAGTATACGTTGAATATGAAGAAGAGAAGGTTCGATCCAGCCAATTTTATGAGTAAATTCTATCAAGAAAATATCATTCTTACACATATGTAAAAATGTGTGGAGAAATAACTGTTATTTCTGTTCTGATGGGAAAAGGGAGTGAGTAGAAAGAAAGTACATTCAAGAAAAAAAGACTGGATTGATTGAAGAGGCAGGAAGGGCCAAGAAAATCTGGTTGCTTGATGTAAATTGTAATGTGGGAGTTCTAAAACAGTGGAGAAATAACTAGGCCTCTGAAAAAAAATAAGTAACATTTCCCATCAAAACAGTTCTGAAACAGTACCTGTTTACTTGATCATCCTTCTCAATTTGATTGTAAGTGCCTAAAGACAGGTAATGTGTGTTGTTCACTGATAATACATCAGTTGCACTCTAGGCAACTTCATATAAATATGTGACAAGTATTCACTTCAGAGAAATATAGAAAACCTTCAGTTACTCTCAGGTTTCTGTGTATCCCTACTTTCTCCTCTCTAATGCTCAGTTCTATGAAAGCATTTCACAAGCCACTAAGGAAATAAAAAAATTAACATTCATGAAGTTAGGAATCCAATTGCAGTTTAGAATTGTATCATACATTAAGAACTACAATGTATATATCAAGACAATTGTAATAAATTGTCAGAATTAAGATATATATATATATATATTTAATCCTCATGTGAGAATATATTTTTTATTGATTTTTTTAGAGAGGAGAGAGAGAGAGAAGAGAGGAGAGAGAGAACCATCAATCGACTGTCTCCTGTAACATACCCAACTGGGGATGGAACCCACAATTCTGGTATACAGGACTACACTATAACCAACTGTGCAACCTGGACAGAGTCATATTTTGAACATTTAGATTCATTGAAGAAAAGAGACCCTCATTTATAGATTATTTCAAAGGTTCTCAAAACATGCATAATTGTTTACTTTTTTCTTATGTATAGTGATATAAAAACAAAATTTTATTTCTTTTTAAAACCATAACTCACTGGCACAGTCATACAAATCAATGAATTTATTTCTAGACTAGAACTGAATGTCGAGAATTAAATCTTATTTATTACACCCATTATGATCAACTGATTTTCAACAAAGATGCTAGGAAAATTCAACGGGGAAAGATTAGTTTTTTCAACAAATAGTACTACAGGAACTGGATATTCACATGCAAAGGAATGGGATGGGACACCTACCTCTCATCACACATGAAAGTTAAGTAAACATGGATCACAAACCTAAATGTAAGAGCTAAAACTATGTAACTCTTAATAAAAACAACAGGAATAAATCTTTGTGACCTAGGATTAGCAATGGTTTCTTACATGACACCACACACACACAAAAAAAAACACAAGCAAGCAACAAAAGAAAAAATACTGAGCTACATCAAAATTTAAAATGTTTGACCAATGTTAACCCAATAAACTTATTTTTAAAAAGAAAAAATCAAAACTTTTATGCTATAAGCAACATCAAGAGTAAAAAAAAAAAAATCACCAAATGAAAAAAAAAATCTGCAATTTATCTATTTGAAAAAGTATTTGTATACAGAATACATAGAGACAAACCACTTAAAACATTGGCAAATAATTTGATCAAACATTTCTCCAGAGAAGATGTACAAATGGCCAATAAGCACTTGAAAAAATGTTACAACTCATTAGGTAAATGCAAATGAGAAGCGCCATGATATACCCTTTCACCCTCAGGATGCCTATAATCAAAAACATACAGTAACAAGATTGGCATGGAGGTGGAGAAATTGGAACTCTCTTACATTGCTGGTGAGGTAGTAAAAGGGTAAAGCCACTTTGGAAAACCATCTGGCAGTTCCTCAAAATGTTGTTTAACATAGAGTTACTATGTGAACAAGCAATATACTCATACCCAAGAGAAATGAAAACAACTCACCTGTACAACTTGTGACTGCATGTTTACAACTGCATTATTCATAATAGCTAAAAAAAAAAAGTGGAAACAGCCCGGCCAGCATGGCTCGAGGGTTGAGCATTGACCTATGAACCAGGAGGTCATGGTTCAATTCCTCGTCAAGGGGATATGCCTAGGTTTCGGGCTCAATCCCCAGTAAGGGGCATGCAGGAAGCAGCTGGTCAATGATTCTCTCTCATCATTGATGTTTCTATCTCTCTCTCCCTCTCCCTTCCTCTCTGAAATAAATAAAAAATATTTTTAAAGTGGAAACAATACAAATGTCCACAACTGATGAATGGATAAACATATGTGGTATAGCCATTCAATTGAATATTATTCAGCTATACAAAGGAATGAAGTGCTAATACATAACATGAATGATCTAGAAAATAATATAACTAAAAGAAGGCAGATACAAAAAAACCACATATTATATGATCCCACTTATATATAAAATGTCCAGAAAGACAAATCTAGAAGACAAAAAGTAGATAAATGATTGCCTAGAGTTGCAGGTGGGAAGGGTGTAAGAAGTGATTGCTAATGAGTACGAGGTTTCTTTAGGGTGGGGTCGGTGGGGAATATTCTGAAATTAGAAGTAGTGACTGTTGCACAACCTTGTGAATATAATAAAGACAATTTAATTGAACACTTTAAATGAATGAATTATCTGATAAATGAATTATATCTCAATATAGATGCTAAATACACACACACACACACACACACACAACACAACACTACACAAATGTGAACCTCTGTTACCTAAAGAAGACTTAAAACATTTCTCTTTTGTCTTACCTTTTAAGAGCATCTTTGAGTTCAGGCACAGAACGAATACATTGAACTGTAGCATTCATGTAACAAGTGTTACCCAGGTTTGTCAATCCACATGGTAACTCCATCTGATAAGAGAAATCATTTTTATAAAATGACATAGCATATATAAATCACTAAAGTTCACACTTCAAAGTAAAATTTCCAACTTATACCAATGTATATTCCACTTTTACCCTAACGTAACATGTTTTATTTCCCCAACTAAAATTTTTCCTTGCATCGTACTAACAGTTATTCTCTGTTTTAATTCCTTTCTTGAAAATATTAAAAGGACAAAAGGATAGTCATATCAATCCTGTCCTCTTTCAGGCTTATCATTAAAACAGGATGATGAAATATACATAGAAATACTTACAAAAAAAGGAATGGTACTACATAAATGTGGGTGGTAAAACTAATAACAACATTTGACAAGTGTATGTTGGCCAGTTTCTAAACCAACATTGCATTTAAATTGAGGATTAATTGTATGTATTTTCAACATGGAAGGTTTTAAGAATTTAAATGTCCCAGCATTTAAACTACTTAATCTCTTTGAGCCTGTTTCCCCATAAAAATAGTAAACACTTAAATAGTGCTGACTACCTGCCAGACTTATATTACAGATATTAACTGCCTTTATAATGAATACATCTTGATATTAACTGTTAAATCGTCAAAGCATTCATGTGCTGCTTTCTGAAAGGCACCTTAGTAACTGTACTTCTGAAAAGTAGTGGTCATATAAAATGTGGTTTATCTTACAGCAGATGCTAACTGTTCTTCTGTCATATCTTCTACGAAGACAGTTTTAGCTGAGGGTTCCTCAGGAAGTGCATCTGCTGATCCCATCATTAGTAGAGTTATTCCCTGTTTTAAAAAAATTTAATTTCATAAAATGCTCAAAAGTTGATCATTTTTATGTTCGATGAAAGAAGCCAGACATAGCAAAACACATACTGCATGCTTCTATTTGCCAGAAAAGGTAAATTTATACAGATACAAAGTAGATTAGCAGTTGTTAGGACTGAAGGTGGGAATAAGGAGTGACTTTAAATAGACGTGCATTTCTTTCAGGGTAATGGAAATATCCTAAAATTAGACTGTGGAGAAGATTTCACAACTCTGTAAATATACTAAAAATTACTGAATTATCAAAAAAAATTAAGTACAAAATGTCTGCTTCCGACCAGAGGTAGTCAGCTCATTGGCAAAAAGACACAAGGAAACTTTTTAGAGTGATGGAACTTCTGTATCTTGATTGTGGTGTGGTTAAATGACTATACAAAATTAACCAAATTCATCAAACTATACAATAAAAAAAGGTAAACTTTGCTCTGTAAAAATTATAAATCAATAAAGCTAAATGAAAAAATACTATCATAAACAAAGTTGAGAATGTTTACATACTGCAGAGAAGGGAATTCTTCAAATGATCATTAACATTTAATGGCACAATTTCTTCCCATAACAAATAAATTAAGCACTGATAGGATTTTATCTATAAATATCTATTATGTAACTGTAACAATTATTTACATTTGAATAAAAACATTGGGAACATTGAAAACTCCATTACTGGAAAACATTAAACCAAGCACATAAGTTCAAAATACTCAATTTTATAATTCCACATATTATTAACCTAACTGAATACTTATATTCAATACATATGTAACATTCTATACAACAAAAGACCAATGAAGACACTGTCACCCTAAATCTCGTAATCCTGAAATGTGAACAAAATCTTACTCAATATCTTAACTGGAAGATATTAACAAATGAAACAAAGAAAAGGGTACAGAGGTTTAATTTTTACTTAAAACTTATAAGATAACTAGAGGCCCGGTGCACAAAAATATGTGCACTCAGGGGGAGGGGGGGGGTCCCTCAGGCCGGCCTGCGCCCTCTCGCAGTCTGGGACCCCTCGGGAGATAACGCCCTGCTGGCTTAGGCTTGCTCCCGGGTGGCAGAGGGCAGGCCCAATCCCTAGGTGCAGCCCCTGGTCGGGCTCAGAGCAGGGCCAATTGGGGAGTTGGGGCGCCACCCCGTCATGCACAGAGCAGGGCGGATTGGGAGGTTGTGATGCCACCCTCAGTCACGCTCAGGGTAGGCCTGATTGGGGGGTTGGGGCACCGCCCTCTGTCACACTCAAGGCAGGGTCGATGGGGAAGTTGCGGCGCCACCCCGTCACGCACAGAGCAGGGCCCATCAGGGGGTTGGGGCGCTGCCCCCTGTCATGCACAGAGCAGGGCCCATCAGGGGGTTGGGGAGCTCCCCCCTGCCACACACAGAGCAGGGCCCATCAGGGGGTTGAGGAGCTCCCCCCTGTCACTCACAGAGTAGCGCCGATAGGGGAGTTGGGGCACCGCCCCCTGTCACACACAGAGCAGGGCGGATCAGGGGGTTGGGGCGCCGCACCCTGTCACACTCAGGGCAGGGCCGATGGGGAGGTTATGACTCTACCCCGTTACACAGAGAGCAGGGCCCGGGGGAGGGTGGGGGGGGGCGCCGCACCCTGTCACACACAGAGCCACAGGGCGATCAGGGGGTGGGGAGCTCCCCCCTATCAGGCACAGAGCAGGGCTGATCAGGGGGTTGGGGCGCCTTCCCCTGTCACGAACAGACCAGGGCGGATAGGGAGGTTGTGGCCCCGCCCCCTGTCACACACAGAGCCGCAGGGCCATCAGGGGGTTTGGGTGCTGCCCCCTGTCACGCTGATCCCGGTGCTGGGAGGCCTCGCGGCTCCGCTGATCCCAGTGCTGGGAGGCATATTACCCTTTTACTATATAGGATAGAGGCCTGGTGCATGGGTGGGTGCCGGCTGGTTTGCCCTGAAGGGTGTCCTGGATCAGGATGGGGGTCCCCAGTGGGGTGCCTGGCCAGCCTGGGTGAGGGGATGATGGCTGTTTGCAGCTGGTCACACATCCTTCAGGGTGGGGTTCCCCACTGGGGTGCCTGGCCAGCCTGGGTGAGGGGATGATGGCTGTTTGCAGCTGGTCACACACCCTTCAGGGTTGTGGTCCCCACTGGGGTGCCTGGCCAGTCTGGGTGAGGGGCTGAGGGCTGAAGCTCCCAACTGCTCCTTTTTTTCTTTTCTTTTTTTATTCTGGGCCAGCTTTAGCTCTGGCTCCAGCTCTGAGGCCTCTGCTGCTGAAAGCAGGTATCTGGTTTGTTTGTGTTCTATAATCGAAACACTGTTTCAACTCCAGCTCTGAGATCCCGGCAGGCTGAAAGCCTGGGGTTTTGTTTAGCTTCTATATTTGTTACAATGTTTCAAACTGCAGGCTCAGAGGCCGGCAAGGCAGGCGGGGAATGTTGGTTTCCTCTGTCATTGAAGCAAGCAAGCCTCATGTTAGTTTCAAGCTGCCTGGCTGCCGGCCGCCATCTTGGCTGGCAGTTAATTTGCATATCGCCCTGATTAGCCAATGGGAAGGGTAGCAGTCGTACGCTAATTACCATGTTTCTCTTTTATTAGATAGGATAGCAAAGCAGTACTAAGCCATCACTAAAAAATCTTTTTCCAAAGACAACTCTCAAGAAAACCAAGTATTTAAAGAATATATTAGCAACAGCCAGTTAGAAAATACAAAAAAGAATACCAACAAATATCTAAGAGAAAACATAACAAGAAATATGTAATAAGAATATAACCATGGCCCGGCCAGCATGGCTCAGTGGTTGTGTTGACCTATGAACCAGGAGGTCACGGTTCGATTCCCGGTCAGGATACATGCCCAGGCTGCGGGCTTGATCCCCAGTGTGGGACATGCAGGAGTCAGCCGATCAATGATTCTCTCTCATCATTGATGTTTCTCTCTCTCTCTCCCTCTCCCTTCCTTACTGAAATCAATATATATATATATCTCACCATAAAGATTATAACCATAAAGCTCTAGTTAGGGATATAAGAAAACACATAAGTAAATCGAAGGACATGACAGGTTTCTAGTCTTGAAAAATTATTATAAAAACATGATTCCAAATTATTATCCAAATTTAATGAAATTCCTGTTTGAATTATAAAATCTTTATTTATTAGAAACTTTATAAAATCTTTAATTCATGTAGCAAATTCATACCCATGACAATAGCTAAGAAATCACAATTTGCCAATACCAAGGGGAAAAGGAGAGAAAGAAAACACAGTACTACAGATTCTAGAATTAAAAGTATAGTATGCCAATCAATTCAACAACTTAAATTTAATGTACCAATTTCTTAAAAGAGGCAAACTACCAAAACTGATGTAAAAGAAAATATAGTATCTGATAGTCCTTCATTTATTTAAAGACACTAAATTCTTAATTAAAAGTCTTCCCACTGTATGAGAAAACATTTGCCAGTGATCCATCTGATAAGGATTTAATTTCCAAAATATGCAAGGAACTCATACCTCAACACCAGGAAGACAAACAATTCAACTAAAAAAGGAACCAAGGACCTAAATAGATACTTCTCCAAAGAGAATACAGATGGCCAATAGACACATGAAAAAATGTTCAAAGTCACTAATCATCAGAGATGCAAAATAAATTTCAATGAGTTATCTGACCTTACACCTGCTAGAACGGCAACCATAAATTAATCAACAAAGTGCTGGTGAATATGTGGATGAAAATATACTATATTTTTATAATCTAGCCATGAACATTGGAAAACACATTTTTAAGTATCATTTTCAACAACTAAGAAACATTAAGTTCCATGAATCTAACAAAAACCATGCAAAACCTCTATGCTGAAATGAAAAACTACAAAGCTCTGCTAAGAGAATAATATAAAGACTTAAACAAATGAAGTAGACCATATTTAAGGATTTTAATACTCAATACTGTTATGATGTGCATTCTCCCCAAATTGAACTACAAATTCAATGTAATCTCAAACAAAATTCCAGGAGTCCATTTGTAGAAATTGACAGCCTTCTCTAAAATTATACAAAAATTCAAAGGAGCTAAAACAGTCTCAAAGAAGAAAAGGTTGGAGAACTTACACTATCTTATTCTCAGACTTATAAAGCTTTAATAATCAAGAATACGGTAGTGGTGTAAGTTTTATCTAATATATAGTATATGAAACAAGAGGCCAAAAACAGACGTACAATTAATTTTCAAGAAAGTTTCCAACACAAGTCAATAGAAAGAGAAAAGTATTTTCAACAGATGTTGCTGGAACAATTCAATGTACACATGGAAAAAAGGACATTTGGAATATATTTTTAAATAATAATTAGGAAATTGCATTATAATAAATAGTGTTCTTAGGATTATACTTACATTTTTTATTTTGATGTTTCCCCAATCGTCATCCTGTTTTAAAGACAAATAAAAAACTTTTAATCACCCCTGTACAATCCAAACATATTCTAATAATCAACTAATTATAAGCTACTCAAAATATAATTTTTTCTGTCAGATTTTATTTAAATTATTGTAATCAAAGTGTTTTTTTAAAAAACACATGCAATCCTAAAGATACTAAGTCTATCAATTGCTTAAACTACATAAGACACAATCTAAAACAGGAAACCTGGCAGCACCAAAAGTACTAAAAAAGACCTGATTGATGACAAATGAAAGATGCTAATTTTTGCATGTTCGTTGCATGTTTGGAATCAACAGAGCCAATATCTACCTTAGGTGACAAGACTGAAGAGTAATATGAAATAAGGTCTGCATAATTAGGGTAACTACAGAATTTGTCATCCAAATCAGGAGACTCTTGATAAAATGCTATTGAAAATGGTCCCAGGAGAGTAAACAGGACCACCCAATGCAAAGTAACCCTTAATAATACTTGCTCTGTCCAATGTTTCTTAAGTACAAAATTTCACATCTACGAAACAATTAAACAATACTTTTACTTGAATATGTTCAATTAAATCAAGATTTTTTTTTTTAAATATATATATTATTGATTTTTTACAGAGAGGAAGGGAGAGAGATAGAGAGTTAGAAACATCGATGAGAGCGAAACATCAATTAGCTGCCTCCTGCACATCTCCTACTGGGGATGTGCCCGCAACCCAGGTACATGCCCTTGACCGGAATCGAACCTGGGACCTTTCAGTCCGCAGGCCGACGCTCTATCCACTGAGCCAAACCGGTTTTGGCAAGATTTTTTCTTCTTAATACCGTGAGTAGTTCACAGATATTTTGGCCTACTAAAGCTATGCCCTTCCCTATACAGGACAGTCAGTTCTATATTACTCCTTTTTTTTGAAGAAGGTACAGGCACTCAATCTGCTTCCTTTTGGAGGAGTAACTAATTATTTCTCCAGACACCCTGCTTCAAAGTTGCACATTAACTTCCTAAAGACCCAGGTGGGTCAGTGGTTGAGCATCGCCCTATAAACCAGATCACGGTTCGACTCCTGGTTGGGGCACATGACGGAATTGTGGGCTCAATTCCCAGTAGGGGCCGATCAATGATCCTCTCTCACCATTGATGCTTATATCTCTCTCTCTCTCCCTTCCTCTCTCTGAAATCAATAACAACATATTAATAATAATAATAAAAAAAAGACTTCTCAGTTTAAGGGCTACTACTGCTAATTATAAGTAATAACAACTATATATGCCCCCTCAGAGCACTTATCCCAGGTCACAAGAGCTGGGAGATGAACCCAAATCTACTTGACTTGTACATCATATTCCCTTTTGGTATCTTACTTTATCTTACTTAAAGCTCGCTGATGCTATTTCCTCATTTATAAAATATATAAAATACAATTACTTTCATCATTTTTTAAATATATACAGATGAGAATTTTTTTAAATAATAAAAGCCTGACACAAAGTATTCAATAAGTGATAGTTATTTAGTAGTCAATTTCATTTAATTAGCATTTTTCTAAAATTCCCTACAGTACACCATCAGTTCAGACATGTCTTGTTTTACTACCTTTGCTTTATTGCACTTTGCAGATATTGTGATTTTTACAAGACCCTCTTCCAGCAAAAATGTGAAGGCTCAGAAAATTATCATTTTTTAGCAATAAAGTGTTTTTTAATTAAGGTATATACATTGTTTTTCTAGACATAATGCTATTGCACACTTAACAAACTTTACTGCAGTGGTTTGGAACCAAATCTGCAATATCTCTGAGGTATGCCTGCACACAGCTCAGCAGAAATTAGGTTAGCCTATATAGTAAAAGGCTAATATGCAAATCAACAGAACGATAGAACAACCAGTCACTATGACCCGCACTGATCACCAGGGGCAGATGCTCAGCACAGGAGCTGCCCCCTGGTGGACAGTGCACTCCAACAGGGGGAGCACCACTCAGGCAGAAGTCAGGCTCACAGCTGGTGAGCACAGCAGTGGTGGCAGGAACCTCTCCCACCTCTGTGGCAGCACTAAGGATGTCCAACTGAGGACTTTCGCCCACTCCAGTGAAGCGGGCCTAAGCCGTCAGTCGGACATCCCCCGAGGGCTCCCTGACTGCGAGAGGGCACAGGCCAGGCTGAGGGACCCCCCCCCCCCCAGTGCACGAATTTCATACACTAGGCCTCTAGTCAATAACTAAAAGTTCATACTGCAACTTGGAGGAGAAATAATGTTTCTTCACCAACATCTGTTTTACTGCCCACCTAACAGGGGTAGCCAGCCCTTAGCATTTCATATCTAACTCTTGAAGTATGTTTTAAAAACTATACTTATACAGTATTATAAATAACAATGAAGAAAATACCTTTGCATCTTTTTTTGTGGCCCTTCATCAATGATGCTAGTAAGCTTGGACTCTTAACTATAGTCAATGTGATCATTCCAAGGGAAGTTGAAAAAATTTAATTCTCTATTTTTTTAAACAAAATTTTTTCTCTCCCACCTCCAGACAGGTTTTAGATAGCAATTACTCTTAAGAGAATGAAGTTCTTTTTTAAGGGATAGGATGCAAGAAAGGCCACAGGAAACAAATTAAGTTTTCCAGTATTTCAAAATCAGGGCTTGACCTGACTCCCATGACCCACAGAGGTATTCATTAATATAGTGCATTTGAAAATAAAAAATTTAGTGATGTTTTTATAATATAATGTTTGAAATGGCTACAATGTTCCTCCTTAAACTAATATGAATAAAATAGTTACAATCCCATAACTATATATTCACCAAATAAAAAAACCTCATATGCCACATTTCACTAGTTATATAATAATCCTATATACTAAAAGGCTAATATGCAAATTGACCAAATGGCCTTAAGACTGGTCGCTATGACACTCACTGACTACAGGGGGAGGAGGAGGAGTGCCGCTCAGCCAAAAGCCGAGCACAGCGGCGGTGGCAGGAGCCTCTCCCGCCTCTGCGGCAGCACTAAGGATATCCCACTGCTGGCTTACAGCCATCAGTCAGACATCCCCTGAGGGCTCCTGGGCTGCAAGAGGGCGCAGGCCGGACTGAGGGACCCATGCCCCCCGCCCCGAGTGCATGAATTTCATGCACCGGACCTCTAGTATTATATAATGAAAATATGGACTAAGTTTTACCTTCAATGTTCCTCCTTTCACCATAACTTTCTGTCTGGATGGCTGGACTCCAGTCAGTGCAAAAAGCTGAGCCTTGAACACCATTGGAGGTTCATCAGTATTCAATTCTACACCTTCAAATTTCTCTTTTCCCCACTTCACGGTAACTGAAAACAAAACCATAATTTATTGTTTTCATTTACAAAATAACAGGACTTCAGATTGAGAAGAAAGCTAGTTCTTGAAAGCCAAACTATGTCATTCATCTTTTTATGTTCATAATGCCTATACTAAATCAGAAGTGACCTGAATGCAGTAGGTCCTGAACAAAATTTAACTGGATCTAATCCAACTTCTCATTTGATAAATAAGGAAACCAACAGTTAAGAGAAGTTGGTTGACTTACTAATGTCAAAAAGACTAGTTAGTAAATATTCAAGTCTTCAGAATCTTATATCAATAATTTCTGCAAAATATGATCACAATGAAATATTTCCCAGAATAAGGTTCACAGACTTCAAAATGTATTTTAATTAAGCAGTCATTAAAATCTACATACAGTTGGAATACAGAGGAGAAAGAGAGGTTTTTGAGAGGTGATTAGAGAGAAAAAAAATTGGGAGATAAAAGAGTATTTAAAACAAGTTAAGGAATACAGATTCTGAATTCTAAGAATTGAAAAGTGTGGTTCCTGAGCACAAGATGGTCAAATATTAAAAATTATATATTTCTTTGGTTATATAAAGATATAATTAAGTCACTAAAAAATATTGAAATCCTACTTCACAGCCATTCAAATAGCTATTTAGAAAATAATGTGGTGAAAACTGGAACCGTTGTTATTGCTAATGAGACTATAAGGTATGGCAGTACCTAACAAAATTAAACACAGAATTACCATATGATCCAGTAATTCTACTTCTAGGTGTATACCGAAAAGTATGCAAAGCAGGGACTGAAACTGATATTTTATACCCATGTTCATAGCAGCATTATTCACAATAGCCAAAAGATGGGAGCAACCCAAGTGTCCATCAGATAAATGGGTGAACAAAATATGGCATACATCCACAATGAATATTATCTGCCTTAAAAAGTAATGAAATTCTTACACACTGTACAACATGGATAAATCTTGGAGACATTATATACTAAGCAAAATAAGGCAGACACAAAAGTACAATTATTGTATGATTCCACTTATATGAGGTACCTAGAGTGGTCAAATTCAGAGGCAGAAAGTAGAATGGAGGAAATGGAAAAAGGGAGTATATTGTTCAATGAAACAGTTTCAGTTTAGAAACATGAAAAAGTTTGGGAAGTGGTTAGTGATGATGACTACACAACAATGTGAATGTACTAAATGCCAAAAACTGTACACTTAAAAATGATTAAAATAGTAAATTTTATGTTACATATACTTTACCATAATAAAAAAATTTCAATCAACCAATAAAAAACTTTCAATTAGCCTCATAAAATAGCTAATTTTTGAAATATGTAAAAATAAACAAACTCAAGGATATAGTTTGTTTCCACTAAAAACTTTATACCTATTTAAAACAAGACTCTCACAACTATCAGCTGTCTGATTTCCAACTACTAAAATCAGAATATGAAAAACTGACCTTGACTCCAAATACCAATTCTTTCATCAGTTCAGTTAATGTATTCAGCATTCATTCAATGATAAGTCCAGTAACAAGCATTAGGGAAGACCCTATGAAGTTATTTATAGTCTAACAAGGGAGAAATGGAGAAGTAAAGGTTAAGATAAATAATATAAGTATTATAAATGCTACAGGAGTACAGAAGAATGCTTCCTGAGCAAGGAAGAGTTCCCTGGAGGAAGTAATAACTGTGTTTTCACTATCAATTTTTTATCACTATCAAGCTAAGACTCAAAGATAAATTAGGTGTTAGCCAGAAAAAAGAAAAGCATTCCTGGAAAAGACAAGAAAAACATAAAGCAGCATGGTATATAATTCCCAGAGTGAACCAGAATCAGCTGAAACTGGAAGCTGGCCAAGGATCAAGTCAAGGAAGATAACATAAGTTATGCTAAAACATACAGGCTTTATGTCATAGAAAATGTGCAATCTCTGAAAGGTTTTCATAAAGGCAACTTTGGTCTGGTTTGAACATTAGATGATGCTAGCAGCAGCAGGGAAATTGAAGAGGGTACAACTGTAAACATTGAGATAAGCTAAAAACATAATAGTACAAGCAAAACACAGGACTAAGCCAGAACAATATGGAAGAGGAACCTATCTGAAATGTACTTAGCTATGTCACATGGGCAAGTTACTTAAACTTTTTTGCTAACCCATAAAGGAGAATTATACCAGTATCTCAGGATTATGTTGCAGATTGAAACAAAGCTACATGTACAAAAACACTAGCTTTGTACCAGGCACACAGGTGGTCACTGAGTTTTATGGCACTTACCTTAACTATATAAAAATCTGGATATTTAATTTTCTAACAAAACGTATGAAACAGTACTTAAAACGTTCTCGTTTTAATATAGGGCTTTTTGCAGAATCTGAAAATAGAGATTCTCAATATAGAGATGTCAGAGGAAGAAACCTTAGAAATCGACTTCAATTCCCCCATTTTGGAAATAAGGAAAAGTTTGATTAAATATTTAAGAAGGAACTCGGTTTTTAAGATCGACAGTTTGGTGAATATAGGCATATTTTTAGGGGAACAAAAGAGAGGGGTTGGTTTTGTTGTGTGTGTTTAAGTATTAGCCTACGGTGGGATTTATCATCAACATTAGTGCTCCCTCAACTCTACATTGCATAAATGTAACATTTCAAGTATCATTCTGTTAAATTATTGTGTAATTATCCTATTGCTAATCATTACAGAAACAGCTTGAGCAATCACTATTAAAGCATTTCATTGAAGAATCTAGATCAAGAATCCACCTCGATGTTAAAGGGTACTTTTCTGCTGCATGTCATTCTTTGAAAATGCTGAATCTTCGATTAGAGGAATTATGATCGTCAGGTAGGGCCAACGAAACACACACATCCATAGCCAACTGAAGCCACCACGTACATCTTAGCTGCCATTTTGAATCAGATTAGGAAACAGGAAGGTCCATTAATTAAAAACTTGACCACCGGCCAACCCCCTAGAGACCGAGACTACCATCAGGCAACAATCCGTCAAACGCCAACCAAAAGGAAACGATGCCCGCGGACAGGTGCACTGCACTCATCTGCCTCCCAGAGCTAACGCCATGCTTCGGACTTCGAAACTCAGTACGTTTGATGAAGTAAAAACGCAGTAAACACACACGCGCGCGCGCGCACACACACAAACACAAAGTCGCAATCCGCTTTGGAACTAAACAGAAACTGGTACCAAAGAGGGTCTTGCAGCGGCAGCCCAAGGGGTAAGCGAAGGGAAACCCCGGTCCCTCCATCCCTCCCCGGCCTCAGGATTCCCTCCGTGCGCCCCCAGGCACAGCCACCCCCCCCCCCCCGCACCCCGAGCCCGGCCCGGGGCCCCAGGACACACCCTCACCTGTCCCCGCTCGCGAGGACAGCGACAGAAACTATTCTGCAGAGTCACCGCTCCCGGAGGCCGACGCGCCGGCTTCCCCATCGCCACTCCCGCTCCCACCCCACCCACCAGGCGGCCCTGGACAGACAGCGCCCCCGCGCGTGGCCGGGCGCGACGGGCATGGCGAGAGAGAGAGAGAGGCCAGCTCCGCTCCACGCCGCCGCCACCCCCGCCCACGCCTCCCCGCTCCCTTCCCGTCCCCTCCCCCGCCCCTGCTCAGCCGGGCGTCCGCCCCGCAGGCCAGGCCTCCTGACAGGCCTAGCGCTGACGAGAAGCGAGGAGCGCGGGGCCGGAGGCGAGAGGGGAGCTCACCGGAGTACAGCGGCATGGCGGGGGGTGCGGGGAGGCGACGGCACAGGGAGGCTGCGCCTGGCAAGGGCGGCGAAGGGAAAGGGACACGAAGAAGCTATGGCAGCGGGCGAGAGGGCAGCGCGGGGTTGGCGGCAGCTCGGGTGCGACAGGAGCCTCATTCAAACCGGCCACTAGCGATGACGCAGCAACACGCAGTTCGCCCGCCGAGCTGGAGGCGGCGAGGAGCGGGGCGGCGAGGCGGGGCCTGGAGGGTGGAGGGCCGGCGCGGTGGGGAGGGAGCCGGGATTGGCGGAGGCCGGCGAGACGGCGGGCGCGGCGCGTGGGCTCGCGGCCCCTGCGCCACTCGGCGGGGCGCCTGCGCACTGCACGCCCCCGCCCCCGCCCGCCGGCCACGTGGGCTTGGCCCCGCCCATCCTGGCCGCTGGTGCAGTGGGAACTTGATGTTCTTGCGGCTTCTTAAAAAAGTCTTTCCCCCCTTTTTACGAAACCGTGGGTCAGTAGAAGCCGGGGATTCTTGTTGTGCATGTAGCCAGTGGTAGAGCTGAGAGAGCCCTTGCTCCACCCCTCAAACCGGTATGTTTACTTCGTAATGAAAACAGCTAGCCCTCCCTTTAAGGATTTTTGTGGCAAAAATGAATACGGTGTATGACCAAGTTTGTTTTAAGCACACCCCTCCCCCTTTGGTGCAACTAACTTCTATCTAGCCTCATTGGGGGACATAGGGATCTGAATTTAAGACAAATGGGGCAAAGTGAGGGTGTGGAGTGATGCTAATAACTGAAAGCATAAAAGAAAATTTACATAGCTGGCCTGCCTCAATGTCAGCGCGAGTTATTGATGATAGCAACCTTGCCCCACATACCATACGCTGCTAAGCCTGGTCTACATGTGTCTAATGGATAGAATCTTCTGCTTAAGGTTGACTTCTTTAAATAATTAATATATTGGTAATATCTTAACCTGAATGTAAATAAATAAAATGTAAAAAACAATACTATCAGAAAGTGAATTATCTACGGTTTATTGTGTAGAATGCCCTCTCCTCATCTGGCCAACAGAAGTTGTATCCAACTTTAAAGTCTCCATTTAATGCTCTCATATACATTTAAAGCCTACTCCTGCAATTATCCTTTCCTATCAAGTCTACTCCTGCAATTATCCTCTTCTATCATGTAGCATTACATTGTAGCTGTTTGCTTCTCTTATTTAATAAGTATATATTGAGTGCAAGATCCTCAACACAGAAACTGTGGATACAAAGATGAATCAAACAAAAGTTCTGCCTTCATAAGACTGAGAATCTACTAGGAGTACTGAAATATGCACACACTAACTACATGGGCCTCTGAATTAGTTAAAGCTCTTGGCTATAAACAACAGAAACCAAAGAAGAAATTGATTGGTAGAATGTAGGGTAAGCTAACAGAATCAATAGGAAACGCAGCAAACCAAGCTTAGCTATTGTATAGGAACCAAGGGATATGGGCACCAGGGAACATGGACAAAGTCATGTCACAGGAACCATCTGGCCACTCCTGCCATCACCTCCATGAGTAATTTCTAATTCTGTGTCTACTTCATACCCTCAAGATTCCATAGACCAAACAAGAATATATAATTGGCCAATGATGAGGAAAGGAATGCCTGGCTCTGCTTCCCACTCAGACATATTGGGGTAGGGGGCATGGGCTGCCCAAAATAGAAGGGCTATGTATTAGTTTCCTATGGCTACTGTAACAATTACTACAAACTTAGTGGCCTGAAACAACACAAATTTATCATTTTACAGTTCTGGCCTACCGAAGTCTAAGAATGGTCTTAACCTTAAGGTGTTGGCAAGACTGCACTCTTTCTAGAGGCTCTATGTAGAATTCATTCCTTACCTATTTCCAGAACCTAGAGGCTGCCACATTCTTTGTCTCATGGCCCATTCCAGCAATGGCACTACTCCAGCCTCTGCTTCCATCCTCACAGCTCCTGCACGGACTCTGATCCTTTGTCTCCATCTTGATTACATTTGGCCCCACCTGGGTAATCCAGGCTATTCTTCTCACCTTAAATTCATACTTGATTATATCTGCAAAGACCTTTTGCATAGAAGGTGGTATATTCACAGGTTCAAGAGATTAGGACATGGGCATCTCTGGAGTAACATTATTCTGCCATGGGTATAAAAAAACAAGACAAACAAAAAAGAGAAACAGGGGACTCTTTTCCCCTCCCCACATGGGAGTCTGTACTTGTTCTTCAATAAATTTCCACCTTTGCTATTAAAAAACAAAATAAAACAGCAAAGCCCTAGCTAGTTTGGCTCAGTGGATAGAGCGTCAGACTGCAGACTGAAGGGTCCTGGGTTAGATTCTGGTCAAGGGCACATGCCGAGGTTGCAGGTTTGATCCCCAGTAGGGGGCGTGCAGGAGGCAGCCAATCAATGATTCTCTCATTGATGTTTCTATCTCTCTATCGCTCTCCCTTCCTTTCTGAAATCAATAAAAATATATATTTTTTAAAAACACCAAATATTGACTATGCTTTCTTATAGCATCTATAATTTTAATATTCCTATGTCTTTTTTCCTCTACTAAATTATAAACTCTTGGAGGGGAAAAAAACAGCCTTAAATAATCTAGGAATTTATATTCCGAAATATTATATATATATATATATATATATATATATATATCAAACTATTTAAATATGTGTAAATATGTATAATATTTTATGTGTAATGTATATTATAAAAAGCCAGTGGCCGGAACGCCGGAACACTAGAACGACCAAACGCCCGGTCACCAGGAGGTCCATTGATGGGTCTCCTGCCGCGGTGGGTCTCAGTCTTGCATGATTTTGTGTGCTGGACCTCTAGTATATTATATTTCCAAATTGTGGGTAGGGACGGGGCCTGGAACAGTGCTTCACCTATAAAATGTGTTCAATAAGCATTTCCTAAATAAATGCATAACTTAATTTTCAGTCAAGAGATAAGGCAAATTATATTAGGGTGAATGCTATGCTGCTATAACAGACATCAAAATTCAATTGCTAAAAAAAAAATTCAATTGCTAAAAAGTTGTGGATGAGTGGGGGAGAGCAATGGCTCTGCTACATGAGGTCATTCAAAGGCCAACATTCCCTAAAGCAGTTCTTTTCAAGTTTAATGTGAATATGAATCACCCAGGACAGTGATGGCGAACCTTTTGAGCTCGGCGTGTCAGCATTTTGAAAAACCCTAACTTAACTCTGGTGCCGTGTCACATATAGAACTTTTTTGATATTTGCAACCATAGTAAAACAAAGATTTATATTTTTTATATTTATTTTATATATTTAAATGCCATTTAACAAAGAAAAATCAACCAAAAAAATGAGTTTGCGTGTCACCTCTGACAAGCATGTCATAGGTTCGACATCACTGACCTAGGACCTTGTTAAAATTCAGATTCTGAATCAGTAGGTCTGGGATGATGTCTAAGATACCAAGCTCTCAGGAAAGCACCCTTTTTGTTTGTTCTTTTTAAGAAAAATCCTCACCCGAGGATATTTTTTCCATTGATTTTTAAAGAGAGTGGGAGGGAGAGGGAGAGACAGAAACATTGAGGTGAGAGAGACATTAATTGGTTGCCTCATTACACCCCCCCCCCCCCCCAGCCCAGAGCCCAGAGCCTGCAACCAAGCTACATGCCCTTGACCAGAATTGAACCCTGGACCCTCCAGTCCGAAGTCCTAAACTCTATCCACTGAGCCAAACTGACTAGGGCAAAAATCACCCTTTTGAGCAGCAAGTCATTAAGGGAGTTGGTTGAAGATGGGCTGCAGGACCATCTGGGTTTTAGCCCACAGGAAGAAGAAATAGAAGGGAGGGAATTACAGGGTAGCATTTTCCTTTCAGCAAAAGTTATGGAAAGGATGTGAAACAAATCACTTCCATTCACAGTTCATTGGTAAAAACAGTTCCTGGCCTCCATGCATGGAAGTCCAGGAAATGTGGTCTCTAACAGGGCAGAGGGATTCAAGCTTAAACTCCATTTTATGCAAGAGGGAGGCAATAGATTTTGGTGGAAAATCAGCTGTCTCTGCCAAGCAAATGTTGGACTCTTGTAAGTAATGTTCAAGCTCATAATGTTTTCCTAACATAAGTGACAACACTCCTGGTTGCTTAGAGGGTTTTGTGTGTGTTTTTTTGATCTGTAAAAGGAAAATTATAATATCTGTCCCTGGGTCCTCTCAATGTTCTAAAATTTAAATAGCTAGATGAGTGCATATATGTCAGGAATAATGACCAAATAGAGCTTATCTAGAGCAGAATGAATACCAGGTACACGTATATGTTTAAACATCTACCTTCTAGGCTAAATTATATTCCAGAAGTTCTAATTAATGAACCCAAAACAGAAGTAAATGATTTGTAATTCTCACCCTCAAAAAATTTATTTCAGAAACAAAAATGTCCACAATTGGACAGAAATAAACAGTTCTGGCCTAATATTTCCCTATCTATACTAACTTATACTTCAATTAAATTCAATGATGCTTGAATTACTGTGCTTTTTTGCTTTCCATTTTTGTTCCCCCACCCCTACCTTAGAATCAAGTTCTCCCTATTTTCTCTCCACTTACATCTCACCTCCATGACACATTTCTACCTTACAAACAACAAATTTGTCTGTCTCTTTAAGAAGTTGCTTTTTTTGATCATTTGTTTAACATTTAATATTTACTGTCTTTTTTATATATGTATATAGTAGATATATTTTATCTTTTCATCTAAACTATGAAAATTCTTTGTACCTCCTTCAGAAATATTTCATGGTTAACTGAATTAGAAAATTTCAGGACTATGCTGTTCTCTGAAGAACTTATAATTTTAATTAGATCACTATGTGTATTATCTACTTCATATCTTCTTCATTTCTGTATCTGCTAGGCCTGCACAGGCCCAGCGTGAAGTAAGTACCCTATCTATTTGCTAAATAATGGATGGCTGGTGTTGGTGATAGGAATTCAAAGAAAAAGAAATGGAAGCAAGTGGAAGGCAATTGGGGGGCAGGAAGATCTTAGAGAGGAATAAAAAGCAAAACAATTATTTATTGATTGCCTATTCATGGACCCTGCATGCAGGAGCTCATAGTTTGCCAGAAAATGTAGAAAAATATTAAAATAATTAATAACTATGCATGTGAAGGATGGGAAGGAGATAGCTAG